AACTGATAAATTAATAAAGTTTAATGTAAATATCAATAATATGTAAAAGAAATTATCAAAAATATTATTTATAATTCAAATTTAATTGAAACTTATTTAACGATATAAATTTTATCATTTTTTTACTGAAAATGTCTATTTAACAAATATATCAAAATTTATTAAATTTTTTCAAATTTTACACGTTTGATCAGATCTTTTAGTTTATCTATTTTGATTTTTTATTTTAATTTTTATTTATTCATTTTTAATAATTACAAACTTTACTTATGAAACTTTATATAAGTTTTTTCCATATTTAATAGGTTGAGCAAGGTTGATTTTTATCAATTTGATTAACAGAAATTAATTGAATTTAATCAAATCAATCTGATTTTAATAATTATCATATTTAATAGAGGTGAGCAAAGTCCATTTTTATCAATTTGAATGACAGAAATCAATTGAATTTAATCAAATCGATTCGATTTTAGTAAGGTTTTAGTAATTATCGATTAAATAAATCAGTTTAATAGGTTAATTTGACCGAATTTTAATTTTTAAAATTAATAACTAAATCAACTAAATTAATTATTTTTTTAGATTTTTAAATTTATTATACATTTAATATAAGTATATAAAAAATTATTTGTATTTTTAAAAATGAAAAATATGACTTGGGCCAAAAAAATGACTCAGTAGCAAATTAAAAGGTGAGTTTTATTTGGTGAAAATTTTTGTAAAATTATTATTTAAAATTGATGGTTAAAAATGGTAAAAGTTTTTCAATTTTTAAACTGAATTTTTTTAACTTTATGTCAGTTCAGTTATTTTCAGTTATTAGAAATAGGTTGGTTGATTCAATTTTTTTTTAGAGAAATTCGAATGAATCAATTTTTAATTTTTTAATATATATATAAATATTACTATAAATAATAATTTAACCAATTTTTAAAATGCTTCCTTAATTATATGTATCAGCAGCTTTGCGTAGGCAATCAGCATTCCCAAAAATGACAGTCTATAAATAGCACCACAGCCACATTTTCTTGACCTCCATAATTTTTGTTTAGCCATGGCTACCGTCATAGTTCTTCTGATCATTCTAGCAATGGCTGACATTAACTTTAGCAATGAAATTAGCTCTAGCTCCAATAGTCCTTGTATTGAGAGTGAAAAACAAGCTCTTTTGATGTTCAAACGAGACCTCATAGATTCTTCAAAACGGCTTGGTTCTTGGGCTCCCGATCATGAGGATTGCTGTAGCTGGGATGGAGTTGTCTGTGACAATAGCACTGGCCATGTCCTTGATCTCTACCTTGGGCTTCCTCCTTTGGATGATACTACTGACTTTGAATCTTATTATCGGTCAAAGCTGAAAGGTAAGATAAACCCTTCTTTGTCCAATTTGAAGTACTTAAGGTACTTAGATTTAAGCAGCAACGCATTTGAAGGACTCCTACCTTACCAACTTGGGAATCTGTCAAATTTAGAATATCTCAATCTGGGAGGTGATACTCGAGTTATTACGATGGGGTTATTATATGTTGAGAATCTCCAATGGCTGTCTGGTCTTCCTTTACTGAAACATCTTGATTTGAGTTTCGTGAATCTCAGCAGAGCTTCCAATTGGTTGCAACAGATAAACACAGTACTCCCTTCTTTGGAGGAATTGAAGTTGTCAGGCTGTCAACTTCTTCCAGGCCCTCCATTGCCAGATGTTAATTTGTCATCTCTTGCCATCCTTGACCTTTCCTTTAATTATTTTACAAATCAAATGGATCTTGTCTGGGTGTCCAAGCTTAACTCCCTGGTTTTACTTAATCTTGGATTAAATGATTTTCATGGACCCATCCCTGATGTTCTCCGAAACATGACTTCTCTTAGCTATCTTGGTCTTTCATCTAATTATTTCATTTCTTCAATACCTGGCTGGCTCTATAGTTTTAGCTCTCTCCAGGTTCTCAAGCTTCGTTCTAATCTATTGCAAGGTGGCATTTCTAGTGCCATTGGCAACATGACTTCTGTGAATAAACTTGACCTGTCAGAGAATGAACTTGAAGGAGAGCTTCCCAGAACAGTGGGAAACCTTTGCAACTTGAGGTCAATCTCTTTGTCAGGTATGAGACTGAGTCAGGATATATCACATATCTTAGAAATTCTGTCAGGATGTTCCTCTCATGGATTTGAGTCATTGGACTTGGCTAATTGTCAAATTTTTGGTCAACTGACCGATCGACTTGGACATTTTATAAACTTAACAGAACTTTATTTGTATGGTAATTCAATCTCTGGTTCTCTTCCAACTTCTTTAGGACAGCTTGCAAATTTGAAATGGGTCTCCATTGGAAATAATTTGTTAGAGGGTGTTGTTTCCGAAATGCACTTTGCTAACCATACAAAATTGATAGATTTTCGTGGATCAGGCAACTCATTGATTTTGAAAGTCAATCCTAACTGGGTTCCTCCTTTTCAACTTCAATACTTAAAGTTGCGATCTTGGCATATAGGGCCATCGTTTCCCCCGTGGCTTCGTTCACAAAAACATCTAGTATCTCTAGACATCTCTAACTCCAGAATTTCAGATAGGATTCCTCGTTGGTTTTGGAGATTTTCAACTCAAAGTTTATTTTTAAATCTCTCTAACAACCAAATCTACGGGCAGATTGAGTATCTACCTAAGGTTGATGGAATTGTTGCTCTTGACCTCAGTTTCAACCATTTTAGTGGTCCATTGCCTCGAACCTCTATATATTCCTACCATTCGAGGATAGACCTTTCCAATAATTATTTCTCGGGATCCCTTTTCCAGTTTTTGTGTTATCAGTTGAATGACACCATGGGAACAAGTATTCTTAGTCTTGCTAACAATCTGCTATCTGGAGAAATACCGGATTGTTGGATCAAGTGGCGATCTTTGATGGTCCTAAGACTAAATGACAACAGATTTACTGGTAGAATTCCAAGCTCCATGGGAAATTTGCGCTTCCTTCAATCGCTAAATCTTTACAATAACAACCTTCATGGAGAAATCCCTTTGTCTCTGAAAAATTGCACAGGATTGGAGGCAATTAATCTTGGCGAGAATGAATTAGATGGCAACATTCCAGGATGGTTAGGCCATAGCCTTCCGTATCTGATGATTCTAAGCCTTCGATCAAACAAGTTTCGAGGTAACATACCAGACCATTTATGTGCTCTTGGTTCTCTCCAAATTTTGGACCTTGCTAATAACAATCTCTTTGGGAGTATACCAAGATGTGTGAACAACTTCAGTGCCATGGCCAGAGGGAATGGTTCCAAGGACAGCAATATAGATTATGGTAATATTACTGGACCTACTTCTGAATCTGCATCCGTTGTGATGAAAGGCCAATTACTTGAATACAGCAGCACTCTCAACTTGGTCAGAATTGTAGATATCTCTTGCAACAATTTGTCAGGAGAGATCCCACAGGAAGTGACAAACCTCCAAGGATTGCAATCCTTAAATTTGTCCCACAATCATTTAATTGGAAAGATCCCTGAAAACATTGGTGGTATGAAATCACTAGAATCTCTTGATCTCTCTGTAAACCAGCTCTCCGGTTTGATTCCACAAAGCATGTCAGGTATGACATTTTTAAGCCACTTGAACGTCTCCTGTAACAATTTGACTGGCCAAATACCTTCAAGTACTCAGTTACAGAGCTTCTATACCTCAAGTTACGCTGGGAACCATCTTTGTGGATCTCCATTAGAGGACTGCAGTGAAAGTGGTATAGAACCTAATATCAGCAATGGAGGTAGAAGAAATGGAAGGGGACTTGAAGTAAACTGGTTCTATGTAAGCATGGCTCTCGGATTTATTACTGGCTTTTGGAGTATTTTGGGACCATTGGTGATTAGCAGACGATGGAGGTTCATATACTTCAGATTTTTGGAACAAATGTGGCTTAAAGTAGGCAACTCTTTTTGTCACTAAATCTTAGTTTTATGCATACATATTTTCATGTTCTCTTATAATTATACATATTTTCATGTTCTCTTATTATCAGTTTATCACTCAACTTACATATATATATATATATATATATATATATATATAGAGAGAGAGAGAGAGAGAGAGATTATAAGTTATGAGTTTGTAAATTTAGAATTATACAGTAAAAGTGGGATAATAGTTAATATTAAACAAAATACAACGTTTAAATTTTTTAAAAAAATCAAAACAAAAATTCACAGGACAAATCAAAAAGAATTTGCAATCAAAATTACATAGATGTTAAATTTAAATATTTAATTCATTTCTTATTATATATAATATTTAAGGAAATTAATATGTAATTATTGTCTACAAGAGAACAAATGCCTCTTTAACCCTCACTTGTAAGCTACTTTCAATTAGAGTTAAGAAAATAGTTTTTTTTTTTTTTTGTGGTCTTCTAAACTCTTATTTAAGTGGCCTTGCTAAAAGTATGTCCCTTGTTCTGCAAAGTTTCCGTAGATATTCAAAGAGATCAAAACAATTATTTTCAAGTTTTTCTGCATTTTGTTCCCTTTGGACGATTGGATACACATTTTGGAAGGAATAACTCAAGGTTTTGACCTTAAAATTTTGGCTTAATCCGTTTTATGTGGTTGTACTTTGTAGCAGTCTAGGATCATAAGTAGCAATAAAGAGCAGAATTTGAATGCCATTTTCCCAATGTATAGAAAAAATTACCGTATTTCTTCAACCTATAAACTATGAGTAAAAAAGAATTAGATTGTATCATGACTTATGGTCAATTTTTTTATGCAATCACCTTCCAAAAAAAATATCTAATAATAAATCATAAAATTTAAATCTTAACACTTACAATCTCTTTTCTTATCCCGACTTCATTTATAAAAAAAAAATTAGATTGCAGTATACATAAGATTTAAAGGAGAAAAGATAATTATGGCACATACTGAAAAGGTGAACAGCTTTCTTGTTTGGTCAACTGTTGACATGTTTGAGATTTACACAAAAGGAAGAATAAACCAAAAATTGCAAAGGATAAAAAATTACATTATCATAGAAATATCATACAAAGAATTATCAGAGTCCTACAATGCTCTCTTGTACAAGATGCTGGAGTGCTATAAACATTACAAAAGAAACAAACAACTTTGTTCAAACAATACTGTATCATGTCCATTCTACCTCTTCCTTAATCAGTTCTTTCATTCTGGTGAGATGGGTAGAAATGCATAGAATGAGCTTCCATGGCAACAAAAAAATGAATAGAATTCACAATAGTCTGGAAAGGAAAAGATAAAGAAAAGGAAGATAAGTAAGCTATAGATCGTTACATATACATATATATAAAACATATCCAACCTCTTTAGCATCCAGCTGCTTTCAAGAATTTGTCGTAAGGGCTTGATGGTGGCAATCGGAAGGAACGTCGTCTGTATTCTTGTGAACAGAGGGCAAGCTGTCCCCTTACATGAACTTGATCCTTGCTAATCAACTTCAGATCTTCCGAAAACACCATTTTCTGAAATAGAAAAGAATAATCCACCAAAACTACAATTATCAGTTTCATAATATCATTTAATTGATTAAAATCATCCTGTAGTGCAGGCCAATTTTGTAACATAAATGTCATGAATATTCTCTTATCTTGAACCACACTAGAAAAGCACAACTGAAAAATGTCTTTTACAAGCATATGGATTCTAATAGACAAACCCAATTCAAAATCAAGGATGTAAAATGTATTCAAACCATGTAAATCCTCTCTTCCTCCTATTTTGGATAAATATCAAATTACCAGACAGGTTACCAAATTCTGAAGGACTTTAGTTGCCATTTCAATCAAGATGCATAGTGGATTCCTCAAATTTGAAAGACTTTAGATGCAATATTTATCAAGATACATACCGGATTCCTCAATTTGTGTGTAACTTCCATAAACCATATATCCAAAGCCAACTTTGTGCTAAAGGAACCACATGTTATGCAAGCATCATAACAACAGAAAAGATATTGCTGTTTTAAAACTACTAAGAAATCCTTTTTATTTGGAAATTGAAAAAGATTTCTGGAATTCAACCTTTAATAAAACCTGCTATAAATTGGAAAACAGTAGAAAAAAATTTATTCTTTGTTATTGTCTTCCACTTTCTTTTAATTAGTACTATTAACTATCATAGATTATACTACTATTATTTTTTATGTGTAACACTATCAATGGTACCGAAAGGTGATTCATTAAAGGTTATGCTTTTGCTTAGGGAAGAAAGTGGAAAGGATTAAACAATAATTAAAGATTCCATTCAAGAAATTAAGACATTCATGCAGATGTTTGTCATGTACGTATAAACCAACTCACCACACTCGGTAAATAGAGGACTTCCTTTTCAGTTTGCTCGAAGGTTGCCTTGGTTTCCTGTTGATGCTTGAAGCTATGAAGCACTGACATCTTCTGATGTTTACCCATTACAAGAGCTTCACACTGACTTTTCATTTCGTCATAAGGAATGGGCGTAGGGGAAACTGAAAAGCTTGCAACTTGCCGGGCTGTTTCCAGAACCTGTTGGTGTAACCAACCGTTATAGTTTGTGAGAAAATGAAAGCTAGATAAAACTCTGGAGACATAGAGGGGGTTAAAGTATAAAGAATGTGAAAACTAGATCTCTGGAACCAACAGCCAGAAATGGATTAAATAGTTCTTCAAAAAAGTTCATTAAAGGGCTTTTCTCTCTGCCATCTCCAAGCGTTCAATCTAAATCTAATCAAATCATAGCAACCACCTAGCAATGACAATGTTTGGTTTTTGAATGAAGATCCGAGCAGTATATAAATTTGCCAAAACAGCAGACATGCACTTAAGGATACATCCACAAGAATCAGTCCCCCCACATTGTTTTCTTCTTTTCTGTTTCCTTCCAAGTACAATTATGTAACTAGGAATAGGACACCTAAAACAAGAACCCTTCATGGATTAATTTAGTAGGCTCTCTTCCCTACCCGAAAGAATGAAAGATACATACTCTTAACATAATGCTTCAAGAGCTGACTCTTTTCAAACTTATATATCTATGCTAACACCGCACCTTTTTAGAGGAACTCAAAATAAGGTACAATAATAAAGCAACGTACTCAAAATGTGACTCCCAAACCTAGTTTATTTTACCCTTCCAAAATGTCCAAAATGATTTATTCACCGCCACTAAAACCAAGATGAAGTGTCAAAAGCATAAGCAGCACCAAAATCCAAATGATGACCAATGGAGTTGAATAAAGACATACCGTCCTTCTGTAATTTATAATGTTTCCAAATTCATAGAGAAATTATAATAAAAATAGAAAAATCAATAAAAATTCTAATAAATAGAACTGCTCAGCTTACTGAATCCAATAGCTCATTGACACTTAAGACATCTAGTGTACTGATGGAAAATGATGTTTTGCGATCTGACTGACTTCCATTGGCTTCAGGGAAGGCTTCTTCTTCATCTGTTATTGCAGCCAGAGGCATAATCTCAACGAAAATCATTAAGTCAACCACACAATATCACAGTGTTATAGGAGTTAATGTAATACAAACAAGATGTACCTCTTCAAATGCTTGAAACTCCATCAGTGCAAGAGGAGAACATGGTCTTGGTGTCTCCATAAACAATGGAGCACCTAATGGATAAACGTCATCTGGTGAAAAGCCCTCAAGAAGTTGTTTCTTTATACTTGATAATTCATCCTGGAAGAAGCAAAAAAGGGATGATAAGAAGCTTGTTTGTGAACAAGCTCCCATAAATGCTGTAATTCGTTTTACATGAAAAATGGAACAACTAGATAACATGTGACAACTAATCGTTACCATAGCTATCCAAGAGCATTGATAATCTCATTATAATGTCATTATTACCCTTTATAAGCCACACACCTGAACCAGGGGGGGAGGGACAATAATTCACTTATGACAAGAAATTTGCAAGTTAGGACTAGATTCACTCATTTTATCCAGTTCTTTTCTTGTCTTCAGACCCTTTCTTCTTATATTTCAACAAAGGCAGTAGCTGCCACCACTCAAAGTAACATTACTCCTAACTACACTCTTTATTATGATATTTGGTCCTATTAGTTAACAATAGTAGCTACTTGGAGCCAAAATCTTTCGCATAACATATCTATTAAACAAAGAATCCTTAATCACCTGGTCTAAAGCACCTTTGTTCAACACTTCATTACTTCAAGAACAAAAAATTCTACATCAATCTAACTGATAATGCACTCAAAACCAAAGGAACCACCTCCTCACTCAACCTCCAATAATAAGTACTTATTATCGTCAATAAAGCCAGAGAAGCAGGCACTAATAATCAAGAAACTGATATATCACCTCCGATAATTTCTCAAATTTAGTCATGAAATGGGATATGACAGTCTCCTTCAAATGAAGATCATCTAGCTCTATTGCCAAGAGGGATTCTAATGCAGCAACATCATCTTCCTTTGATCCATATGCTATGCTGTCCACATCAGATTTCATGCAAACAGCCTGGAGTCCGATATCTTCAACTAATTTGAGATAAGGATCAACCTGTGCAATGGAAGAAAAACTCAAGTACCATAAAAAATATAAATGACCTACTATAGATTAAGGATAAGAAACTGACTGTTTTATCTGTTAGAGATGCTTTAACAATAGGAATTAACTCTGGAAGATTGCCTGCCCTTGATGAGAAAATAAGCATGTAGGATGCCAAGGTAAAGAGAGACCTTCTGCGAGATGGTTGCAAACCTCCTTCAACATGCATGCAAGACACAAATGTCAGGAGAAGTTTTCACCAAATTTAACAAGTCCACAGAATTTGAGCAACAAATTCTACTTCCTAAGGACAAATCATATTTTAGAGATTAATCTTTCCCCTTACCACAGAGATTAGAAAAAAGGCTATTCAGTGTAAACCATCCTTTGATGCTAAAACTACTATGTGCATGAGCTTACATAAACAATCAACTAGCCCTTTGTTCATCCACTAGGCATATGGATAAAAATAGACAGCAATAATTTTAATTATTTAAAGTAAGCATTAAAAACATTATCAGGGAAAATAAAGGTAGTAAAGTTATTTAAATGTTATACAACGTGGTATGTCGTTTGATGAAAAAAGGGATTAAAAAAATAGGAAAATGAATTTTGAATTCAGTAAAACTCTAAAAGATCAACTGAGATTAAATATTTTTAAGAGGGGACCAAGTTGGTGTTATGATACCATCTGAGTCAGTGGCATTAAATATTAGTATAGATATGATTTCCTCAATAAAATAGGAGGGCAAGAAAAGAATCATATTTGATAAGCATGAGCTTTTATTTTGTTTTTCCTTTTATGTTGATTCTGAGAAACATTAAGAGAGCATTGGTGAGACAAAATCAAATAGGATATATAGGATCAGGGGTGTATAAGGAATATTCCTTTGCATGAGTATACAAATGCCTCCGTGCATGAATACATGTACTACAAGGTTTCCAATAGATAGGACAGCTGGACAAAGATAGCACCATATACCATTAATATAAATTACTTAGTAAATATCTAGGACAAGAAAAAGAATAAACTTTTCTGAGCAAAGTTTCCTTTCCATTTGCTGCTTGAGATGGCTGTTAGCAAAATTAAAGTAGCATATCTAAGACAAAATCAACAAGGATAAACAAGATCACGGAAGTTTATGGAATAATCCAGTGTGTGAGGCTTCCAATTGATAAAATGGACAGAAAGCATAATCCAACTGCATGTATATGTATAACACTGTGCTCTTTCACTCTATAAATATATATATATATATATATAAATACCAGTAATAATAGATGTAACATACCTTCTTGATCCAGAGAGATGCTCCTAAGGGAGAATGCCAGCTGAAAACTCCGAACTAGGGCCATGTGACTGGAGGTCTGTCATCAGCAAAATTTATCAACAGTCCATGTTCAGGAATAGCTACCAAAATGGACAAAGAGAAACTCTACTGGCGTTAAAGATATGTCACAAATTTCCCTACACAAAATGTAAAAGATAAAGAAGGGGATCTTCTTTAGCAGAAGATCTGGGACATCCCTCTTAGAAACTCAAGGTAATATCCAAATTCTATCACAACCCAATTCTTGGCCCAAGCCACACCTCACAGCAGAAACTGTAATACCCCAGCTCAAATAATAATTGGGCTAGAGTAATACTAAAACCAATCATTTATTAAGACATTATTTAGTAAAAAAAAAAAGGTTAAAGTATTAGATGAAAGAAAACCTTGAAACAAAAAGGAAATAGAGTTCTTCTTCCTCATCTTCCTTAGGGTTAGAGAATATGAAAAATCAAGTTGAAGATTCACAATCAGAGGCTACAATCAAGTTAATCCCTTAAAGTTGAGTACATACCCTCTTTTTATTTGAAAAGAAATATCAAGTTGATTGCTATTATTTGGAGTTGAAGTTTTGAGAGAAAAATCAAGAAAAATCATGAAATCCTTCATTAATCTTGATGATCTATTTGGGTAAATTACTGGGCTTTGTTTATTTCATATTCTTAAGATTTATTTATGATTATTGAATGGAGTTTGAAGGCTGAAAGTAAGGATTTGAGTTTTCAAAGATTGAAGGAGAAATTCTATTTTTGGATGAGATGTTATGATCTGTAATAATGAATTAAAATAGAATTTTGCATTAATGAATAGATTATTACTGTGATTATTATATATTATTGGAAAGCATGTTGAATCTAGTTTCTAATGAAATAAACGAAAGTCAAATCCGAGTTTTCTATTAAGAGTTGTCTAATTTTAACTTAAGGATATGCAAGCTGTAAGACAATAGCATCAGGATTGAATTACGAAATTCTTCTTAATTTGTATACAAGGATTTACAGATTAAGCCATATATGTTTGGAAAGCTTATTAAGTCTACTTTCCAATGAAACAAGCAAAATTGAATTTGGAGTTTCCTGTGAATAAATATATAATTTTTATTAGAAGGTATACAATCTGTTTGGCAGCAGTATATGACGTGGATTTCAAAATTTGTTATAACTAATCTACAAGGAATTACAAGGTGTGCCATATATGGTTAGAAAGCTTATCAAGTCTAATTAACGTATTAAAGAGATCATAATTTTGATTTGGATATCTTGAGATATAACTGTTTTAATGAAAAGAGGTCAGGTTGCCAATATTAATTAGTTAAGTTAACCCTTGTGTAACTTAGTTGATTTTTGTATAAATTGTCTCAAAAAGGGTTGATTAAATTCTGATCTGTTGAAATGATCTTGGATAGGCCATTAATTATTTTGAGAGAAAAACTAAGTGGTGGAATCGAATGGAGGTAAGTAGAATCTCACACACTTGTTTTCAAATCTATGAATATATATATATATATATGTATATATGTGTGTTTCTAAAAGAAAGAATGTTTTATTTCTTTATTTTCGATGTATGAAAATAGGATCAAGTATATGATTATTTTGTGTTTCTCTATATAAATGATGGATCATGCTTATGAATGAAATAAGAAAATGATTTATGATTAAAGAATGATTTTGTGATGGTTATGTTTTTTTACATCCCTGGGAAGTGGGATCATCGACACTAGAACTAGTTCTACGATCCTGGCTAACGGGTAATAGTAGTTAGCAAAGACATGATCATACGACCCTAGCTAATGGATAATAGTAGTTAGCATAAGCCCTGGCTAACGGGTTATAATAGTTAGCAATTATCATGAAAATGAAATTATCGATACGGTCAATGTCACGGGTTATAGCAGTGACTGTAGCTAACGATAAATGAATGATAATGATGATTTATGATGATTTTAATGATTGATCCATGATTTGGTTTGATTATGATATTTGAATGATAGCATATTTTGTAATGATTTATGAAATGACATATTTTGACATTGATTTATTAATTTATAAAATATTTGACAAAACGATGATCTTGAAATGTTTTGATATTATGATTTGATGAATGTTTTAAATGATCTATATGATGTGTAAGAAAACGATGCTTGATCTGATAAGGTGTGTGAGCCTACACTTACTGAGCTGTGGTTTGCTCATTCCCTTTTTACTTTTTCTTTACAGATGATTAAGTGATAAGTTTGATTAATCTTGTGTGAAGCTAGAAGATGAAATGGAAAAGATTACTTAATCGTCGGAGAATATGTTGGCCAATAAGATCTTAAGAGATAGTTTTGTATTTTATATGGTTTATATTTGGATATATAAAGATGTATCATCAGTTTGATTAAAGATATAAATTTTACTTCATAAATTATTTTATTGAAGAATTTTAGAATGTTTAGGAAAAAAAGCTACGTATTACTTTGAGATTTTTTTCAAGATAATACGACCGTGTTAAATCTTGATCTCGGGGCGTGACAGAAACAACTTGAATATCACATGATAAACCTAACTTGGGTGCTTGAAACAAAAAGGTTAACCATTGCTATCTCACTATGAGTTTCCTAGATAATGGTAGATGGTGCTGAAAACTAGAAAGAGACGATGAAGGGAGAGTCAGTTTTTTCCTTTTTGCTTTTCTACTTTCACGTAAAGCATCCAAGCTGAGAACAAAGAACTTCTATAATAATTGAAAATCATATACAATATCAAATTAAGGACAATCAGCAGCAGCAGATACTCTCTATGTGAAACAATAAATAAATAATTTGTTCATTCTTCTATTTTGGGTTGTTCCAAAATGTTTGTTCATTACCAAAACTAACAATCATTTGTTGATTTCACTAATCTAGCCATTACTATATCATGCATCATCACCAAAACAAAATAAAATCAATCATCAAGAGTAAGTTGATATCATAAAACCAACTATATTTCTTGAACCTTGTGAATTGATAAAGGAGATTAATATTTTGGAACAAAGGCAGTATAAAATTATGACTAACCTTGGATCGGGTAAACAATACTGCAAGGCTATAGGAATGGGCCATAGCGTCAAAATTTGCGGGGGTATTTTCAGCAGAATTTGCTTGGACCCATATTGATGAAAGCAGAAGACTCACTTGATGGCTACTTAATCGAAGGGAAGTGAGCTGCTGAAATTTTCAAATATGTAAGAACACTAAATAGTATCAGTATTGATAACAACACTAAGCAACAGAGAGAAAGCAGTTTCACACCATTTTTCCATCACCCAGACCATGCTTGAAGCTATATGAGTGTCCACGGGACTGACACATTGATTTTTTAACAGCCATATCTGATGCTTGATTTACATTTTCTTTTAGTCTTCCATCAACGAGTTCTGCTTGGTCTTTACCTTCATCCTGAAAAGCAAAGCTGTGACTCCTTACCTTCTTGGATGCACTAACTGATAAGTCAGAACAAACATCTTCAGAAGTGTTTTTATTTTGATCTGACGTAGGTGAAAGCAAGGACGGCATAAGCACAGTGGAGAAAATGTTATGTGCTCCAACTCGAGTTTCATGGTCTGGGTGGGCCATTGCGAGGACCAACGGGTGAAATAGAGCGTCAGGGAAGGCCTGGAACAGATTATAATGTCAGAACATATATGCACATAAAAGATAGGAACAAATATAACAGTATATTACACAAGAACACTTGCCTTCTTGTGATATGATATGTTTGGGATAGATGAGATAATGTCTGCAGTTAGATAAACAGCATAGACAGTTGTTCGGGCAACAATACTGTTGGTCGAAATATTCTCTAGTACAACAGCCATCATATCAAGAATTGGTCCCACATCCCCAACCTGTTAAATGCATAAAGAAAATATGTTTCAACTAAATGGAAAAAGCATTTGAATAACAAGAAAAAGTAGTTTCTGTAAGTATCTTAAAATGTAGTTTCTGCAAGTATCTTAAAATAATCAGATTCAAGTAAAACTTGGATGGGTCAAGAACATATTCCCAACCTTATTTGATAGCTGTGAGATACACTTTTCTAATCCTAACTGAAGATCAGTGTTATACTTATCGATATCACCCCCAGAACTTGATATTTCAGTTGAATTTTGAAGGCATTTTCGTAGATACTTCATCAAGTCAGTTATAGTACCGATGATTGCTACTGACGGCTGAGGCTTCGCAGTTTGTGCAAGTTGAGTAATGACATCGATAATGTTAACTTGTATATGAGGTTGCTTGGCTACATTCTTATGCTCCATGTGCTTCACCAAGATAGCCAATAAAAGGTGGGACTCCTCTCCTGGCATTAAAAAATAAATACCATTATATCTACAAACGAGTTATCAGAAAAAGTACCCATACTAAAACTCCCAAAGTAACCTGTTTCTTCCATTAGCGACTGCAAATACATTAGAACTGAAAAAGCGACTCCCTTCTCTCGGGACCAGTGATTTTCAGCATCAAAATTATGAAAAAGAGGTTCAAGAACACGCCGGATAGTTGTTGCTTCTTTTGCCAATCTGGCAATATTACGTAAGATAACTCTCGACCAGTAAGAGGGACTCTTGGAAGTATCCCTGTTATAAAGCCAAATGAAGCAAAGGATGATATTTGAGCATGAAACATATCCTACTGAATTGAATGCAGCAAGAGATATACTGAAATAAAGCCTTACATGGTTGGATCAAAGGCAGAGTTAATCACAAGATTTGGTACAGATGAATCCTTCTCAATGATATCTGGGAAGGAGATACCATTTTCATTTACTTTACTGCCACTGACAGGGGTCATTTGGATATCGGTGTAGTTCTCCAAGGTCACTGATATGATCTATACAAGATAGAAAAAGAATTTAAGATGAACAAAAAAGCCAGCACCTACTGCACATCTGTTTGACTAGTGTATGATTTCCTTTCCAATATTTCAAAGGAGATTCAAGAGGCTAAAAGATGAAACTTCAAAATTGAGCTTCTAAGAGAAGCTGAACTAAGAGAAACCAATAGAGAGATTAATCCAAATTTTGGATGGACATAAATATACTTAGTTATTTATATATTTATAACCATTTCAAAACTCTACTTCAATCTTTTTAATGAAACTCCAGCTAGGCCAAAGAAGACTCTTAATTACTTCAATATTTTTAATGAAGCTACAGCTAGGACTAAAATATACTGCACGTTAAATTGCATCAGGTCAGGAATTCATCAAACTGAATATAAAAGTGCATTGATAGGAAAAGCCACCATAAGAAATGATAACTTACACTATCGAAGTCCATTGATATACGAGAGTGCTCACCCATGAAGCAGACCTATGCACAAGAAATGAGAAAGGAGAAAGTAGTAAATGACCAAAAATGGAAGTGGAAGAAAACAAATACGAGTAAAGGAATACTAAATGAGAAAAGTACAGAAAATGAACATAAAATCTGAATAAAATTACTTTAAAAAGAAAAACTCAACGAGAAAAAATTCAGGAGTTACTCACTTATATATCTGACTTGTAAAGACTTGTAAGTCAGCTCAACATATTAGATCATAAGGCTAGTCACAGGTTAATAAAAGCTGAAAGTTCAACCCAAACATGCCTGATCACCCTTTAGTAATGAATTATAGACTTGCTGCATCAATTTAGTCCTAAAACCCCAATATTCTCCTTCAGTCCACAATATTATACAAGTGATTTGTTTCAAATCTAGAAAGATCAATCTAAAAATTCAATCATTAGAACTGTTAACTAATCTAAGTTCAACCTCAATCTAGTGTTATAAAACACACACCTATAAAAATCAAAGCCACTGCCTATTAAAATATATTTCACAAAGTCAGCCCCTCAGTTTAAAGGATGTCTTCTAACAGAGGATTTAGAAGCAGAAGCTAATAATCAATTAAATTATTTAAATTATTTTAAATTAAAAATATCTTAAATAAAATAAAATATATTTACTAAATATTATGTGACCATTTTTAAAACTGTTCATATGTCAAGCCTATAATTGTGGAATTGTATATTTTTGGAATTTAATAATTATTAGAAAGAGAGAAATGAGAAAGAGATACCTTGACTTGTCAAGCCTGCAATTGTGGAATTGACTATTTCTGGAATTTAAAAATTATTAGAGAGAGAGGGAGAGAGAGGAGAGACCTTGCTTGCCAAGCCTACATGCATCTTGCTTTTCTCTTATCCTTCTTTTGTTTTAAGCCATGGAATGGAATAAAATAAGTTGTTCTCCTCATTTGCAACCGTGAATACAATTAGATGTATCCTTGAGTTACTGTCAATCCAGAAAAAAAACCTTTTATTTTTTGAATTTTACTAATCTGCATCATAATTTTGATCATTCATATTAATTATATAATATTTTGAATTTATAATAGCTTGATTAATTATAATTTGAAGCATCCGAATTTTGGATTTATTGATTAATGCTTTTATTTTTTAATTAAAAAATAAAGATAATCTTTTTTAATAAAAAATTTTTTTGAAAATGATAGCCATAAGAAGTCTTTGTTTTCATTGATATATATTTGACTAACACCTTATTCCAAATGAGCACATTAAATAACAGCTGTCTTTAACACAATAAATGAGTGGATTTTCGATAAATAATTTTATTCCACAACTGCCCCAATAAATTAAAAATTATGTTCCATTCTCGTGGTTTCTTGCCAAATTCTTAGTCGACTTATTAAGAAAGGGACCAATCACTTTTTTTTTTTTGGTGTACCAAAGACCAAACAATATCTACCGTGATTAATCGCATTCGTTATTTTTAAAAAAAAGGATTTTTTGTATTTTAATATAAAAACTTTGAATAAAAATTTTTTTTTTAATTCAAAGATAAATAGATTATTTAATTTCTTTAAATTATTTCATATCTGATAATTTAAAATAAGTGATTATAAGTTATATATTTGAGATTATCTTAATAAATAGTCACCGATAATACTTAAACTCAAAAAAATTTTTATTTAAGAGAATAAATCTTAATTAATTAAACTAATTACTCGTTAATTGAAATAACAGTTTATTGTATAATATTATGAATGATATTTGATATTGAAAAGAGAGATTTTGGGTTTTTTTTTTTTTTGGGGGGGAAGAAATTGAAAATGATATATTAGACAACGGTCAAATTTGGGTATTGAAATTGTAAGTGGAATAAGTCATTGGCGGCTCATAATAGTCAAAAACTTTTTGGTTACATTTTAGGTCTTAATTTAGTGACAGGTAAAAAGACATATATGTTAGAATTTGAATATCAATTTTTTAAAATATTATTTCATAAAAATAGTTATATAATTAATTAAGCTAAAATTTGAATTTCATAATAGTCAAATTTGATTTGTAAATATAATATTAAAATGAGATATAAAATTTTTTAATTTTTAATTTAACCTTAATCTTTTAATTTTTTTCTATTTAAATCTTCAAAGAAAAATATTATGAGCTTAAATCTTTTTAATCTTGCAATCTTTAAAAATTTTTGTCAGCATGCATGGCATTTGAATTGAAAATAAAATTGGTTACTGCAAATTTGTTTTTATTCATAAAAGCATTATGGACTTGCAATTTCACAATATGAAACTAGACCTACATTATTTTATTGTGAAATTAAATTAACACTATATAATAACAAAAGGATATCTATATGTTGTTGCTAATGTATTTAAGAAGTTATTATGAAATTTGAAAATTTTCTTTTGACAAGAACAGGTTAAAAAGCCTACATTTGGTAAAACCCTACATTTCTTTTAATAAGAATAAATTTAAATTTAATTTATTATATAAATTATGAAGGTGAAAGCAAGTAATATGTAAAAATTAGTAAGAACCTAATATTTATACTCCAAAGAGTAAAATGATGAATTTAAACTTCTCTCCTTCATAAACATTATTTCAAATTTATTCCATAGATATTTACTAATAAATGTCTTTAAAATACTATATAAAATTAATTAACACTATATTTAATGGATAAACTTTATATGAAGTTATATAGGTAGAGTTCATGAAGTTCCTTATTAAAAATAAGTAAATAAAAACTCTGATAAAAAATTCGAATTGATAAATTAATTAATGTAAATATCAATAATATGTAAAAAGAATTATCAAAAATATTATTTATAATTCAAATTTAATTGATACTTATTTAACGGTATAAATTTTATCAATTTTTTACTGAAAATGTCTATTTAATAAATATATCAAAATTTATTAAATTTTTTAAAATTTTACACGTTTGATCTATATGATGAGATCTTTTAGTTTATCTATTTTGATTTTTTATTTTAATTTTTATTTACTCATTTTTAATAAAAAACTTTACAAACTTTACTTATGAAACTTTACTTATAAAAATATAGGTTGAGCAAAGTTGATTTTTGTCAATTTGATTAACATAAATTATTTGAATTTAATCAAATCGATCTGATTTTAATAATTATCATATTTAAAAAGGGTGAGCAAAGTCCACTTTTATCATTTTGAATGACAAAAATCAATTAAATGTAATCAAATGGTTCGATTTTAGTAAGGTTTTGATAATTATCGATTAAATAAATTAGTTTAATAGGTTAATTTGATCGAATTTTAATTTTTAAAATTAATAACTAAATCAACTAAATTAAATTTTTTTTTTAATTTTTAAATTTATTATACATTTAATATAATTATATAAAAAATTATTTGTATTTTTAAAAATGAAAAATATGACTTGGGCAAAAAAAAGGAAAAATATGACTTAGAAGCAAATTAAAAGGTGAGTTTTATTTGCTGAAAACTTTTGTAAAATTATTATTTAAAATTTATTGTTAAAAATGGTAAAAAATTTTCAATTTTTCAACTGAATTGTTTTGACTTTATGTCAGTTCAGTTATTTTCACTTATTAGAAATAGGTTGGTTGATTCAATTATTTTTTAGAGAAATTCGAATGAATCAATTTTTAATTTTTTAATATATATAAAAATATTACTATAAATAATAATTTAACCAATTTTTAAAATGCTTCCTTAATTATATGTATCAGCAGCTTTGCGTAGGCAAACAGCATTCCCAAAAATGACACTGTCGATAAATAGCACCACAGCCACATTTTCTTACCCTCCATAATTTTTGTTTAGCCATGGCTACCGTCATAGTTCTTCTGATCATTCTAGCAATGGCTGACATTAACTTTAGCAATGAAATTAGCTCTAGCTCCAATAGTCCTTGTATTGAGAGTGAAAAACAAGCTCTTTTGATGTTCAAACGAGACCTCATAGATTCTTCAAAACGGCTTGGTTCTTGGGCTCCCGATCATGAGGATTGCTGTAGCTGGGATGGAGTTGTCTGTGACAATAGTACTGGCCATGTCCTTGATCTCCACCTTGGGCTTCCTCCTTTGGATGATACTACTGACTTTGAATCTTATTATAGATCAAACCTCAAAGGTAAGATAAACCCTTCTTTGTCCAATTTGAAGTATTTAAGGTACTTGGATTTAAGCAACAACGCATTTGAAGGACTCCTACCTTACCAACTTGGGAATCTGTCAAATTTAGAATATCTCAATCTGGGAGGTGATACTCCATTTATTATGATGGGGTTATTATATGTTGAGAATCTCCAATGGCTGTCTGGTCTTTCTTTACTGAAACATCTTGATTTGAGTTTCGTGAATCTCAGCAGAGCTTCCAATTGGTTGCAACTGATAAACACAGTACTCCCTTCTTTGGAGGAATTGAAGTTGTCAGGCTGTCAACTTCTTCCAGGCCCTCCATTGCCAAATGTTAATTTGTCATCTCTTGCCATCCTTGACCTTTCCTCTAATTATTTTACAAATCAAATGGATCTTGTATGGGTGTCCAAGCTCAACTCCCTGGTTTTACTCGATCTTGGAATAAATGATTTTCATGGACCCATCCCTGATGCTCTCCGAAACATGACTTCTCTTAGATTTCTTGATCTTTCATATAATTATTTCATTTCTTCAATACCTGACTGGCTCTATAGTTTTAGCTCTCTCCAGGTTCTCAGGCTTCATTCTAATCTATTGCAAGGTGGCATTTCTAGTGCCATTGGCAACATGACTTCTGTGAATAAACTTTACCTGTCAGAGAATGAACTTGAAGGAGAGTTTCCCAGAGCAGTGGGAAACCTTTGTAACTTGAGGTCAATCTCTTTGTCAGGTATGAGACTGAGCCAGGACATATCACATATCTTAGAAATTCTGTCAGGATGTTCCTCTCATGGATTTGAGTCATTGGATTTGGCTAATTGTCAAATTTTTGGTCAACTGACCGATCAACTTGGACATTTTATAAACTTAACAGAACTTTATTTGTATGGTAATTCAATCTCTGGTTCTCTTCCAACTTCTTTAGGACAGCTTGCAAATTTGAAAGCGGTCTCCATTGAAAATAATTTGTTGGAGGGTGTTGTTTCCGCAATGCACTTTGCTAACCATACAAAATTGATAGATTTTCGTGGATCAGGCAACTCATTGATTTTGAAAGTCAATCCTAACTGGGTTCCTCCTTTTCAACTTCGTTTCTTAGAGTTACGATCTTGGCATATAGGGCCATCGTTTCCCACGTGGCTTCGCTCACAAAAACATCTAGCAGATCTAGACATCTCTAACTCAAAAATTTCTGATAGGATTCCTCGTTGGTTTTGGAGATTGTCAACTCAAATGTCCTTTTTAAATCTCTCTAGCAACCAAATCTACGGGCAGATTGAGTATCTACCTAAGGTTGATGGAATTGTTGCTCTTGACCTCAGTTTCAACCATTTTAGTGGTCCATTGCCTCGAACCTCTATATATTCCTCCCATTCCAGGATAGACCTTTCCAATAATTATTTCTCGGGATCCCTTTTCCAGTTTTTGTGTTATCAGTTGAATGACACCATGGGAACAAGTATTCTTAGTCTTGCTAACAATCTGCTATCTGGAGAAATACCGGATTGTTGGATCAAGTGGCGATCTTTGATGGTCCTAAGACTAAATGACAACAGATTTACTGGTAGAATTCCAAGCTCCATGGGAAATTTGCGCTCCCTTCAATCGCTAAATCTTTACAATAACAACCTTCATGGAGAAATCCCTTTGTCTCTGAAAAATTGCACAGGATTGGAGGCAATTAATCTTGGCGGGAATGAATTAGATGGCAACATTCCAGGATGGTTAGGCCATAGCCTTCCGTATCTGATGATTCTAAGTCTTCGATCAAACAAGTTTCGAGGTAACATACCAGACCATTTATGTGCTCTCGGTTCTCTCCAAATTTTGGACCTTGCTAATAACAATCTCTTTGGGAGTATACCAAGATGTGTGAACAACTTCAGTGCCATGGCCAGAGGGAATGGTTCCAAGGACAGCAATATAAATTATGGTAATATTACTGGACCTACTTCTGAATCTGCATCAGTTGTGATGAAAGGCCAATTACTTGAATACAGCAGCACTCTCAACTTGGTCAGAATTGTAGATATCTCTTGCAACAATTTGTCAGGAGAGATCCCACAGGAAGTGACAAACCTCCAAGGATTGCAATCCTTAAATTTGTCCCACAATCATTTAATTGGAAAGATCCCTGAAAACATTGGTGGTATGAAATCACTAGAATCTCTTGATCTCTCTGTAAACCAGCTCTCCGGTTCGATTCCACAAAGCATGTCAGGTATGACATTTTTAAGCCACTTGAACGTCTCCTGTAACAATTTGACTGGCCAAATACCTTCAAGTACTCAGTTACAGAGCTTCAATACTTCAAGTTACGCTGGGAACCATCTTTGTGGATCTCCATTAGAGGACTGCAGTGAAAGTGGTATAGAACCTAATATCAGCAATGGAGGTAGAAGAAATGGAAGGGGACTTGAAGTAAACTGGTTCTATGTAAGCATGGCTCTCGGATTTATTACTGGCTTTTGGAGTATTTTGGGACCATTGGTGATTAGCAGACGATGGAGGTTCATATACTTCAGATTTTTGGAACAAATGTGGCTTAAAGTAGGCAACTCTTTTTGTCACTAAATCTTAGTTTTATGCATACATATTTTCATGTTCTCTCATAATTATACATGTATTGTTCACATTATTATCAGTTTATCACTCAACTTACATATATATATATATATATATATATATATATATATATAGAGAGAGAGAGAGAGAGAGAGATTATAAGTTATGAGTTTGTAAATTTAGAATTATACAGTAAAAGTGGGATAATAGTTAATATTAAACAAAATACAACGTTTAAACTTTAAAAAAAAAAAATCAAAACAAAAATTCACAGGACAAATCAAAAAGAATTTGCAATCAAAATTATATAGATGTTAAATTTAAATATTTAATTCATTTCTTATTACATATAATATTTAAGGAAATTAATATGTAATTATTGTCTACAAGAGAACAAATGCCTCTTTAACCCTCACTTGTAAGCTACTTTCAATTAGAGTTAAGAAAATAGATTTTTTTTTTTTTGTGGTCTTCTAAACTCTTATTTAAGTGGCCTTGCTAAAAGTATGTCCCTTGTTCTGCAAAGCTTCCGTAGATATTCAAAGAGATCAAAACAATTATTTTCAAGTTTTTCTGCATTTTGTTCCCTTTGGACGATTGGATACACATTTTGGAAGGAATAACTCAAGGTTTTGACCTTAAAATTTTGGCTTAATCCGTTTTATGTGGTTGTACTTTGTAGCAGTCTAGGATTATAAGTAGCAATAAAGAGCAGAATTTGAACGCCATTTTCCCAATGTATAGAAAAAATTACCGTATTTCTTCAACCTATAAACTATGAGTAAAAAAGAATTAGATTGTACCATGACTTAAGGTCAATTTTTTTATGCAATCACCTTCAAAAAATAATATCTAATAAGTGATTAAAATTTAAATCTTAACACTTACAATCTCTTTTCTTATCCCAAACTACGGCCTCATTTATTAAAAAAAAATTAGATTGGAGTATACATAAAATTTAAAGGAGAAAAGATAATTATGGCACATACTAAAAAGGTGTAACACCTTTCTTGTTTGGTCAACTGTTGACATGTTTGAGATTTACACAAAAGGAAGAATAAACCAAAAATTGCAAAGGATAAAATTACATTATCATAGAAATATCATACAAAGAATTATCAGAGTCCTACAATGCTCTCTTGTACAAGATGCTGGAGTGCTATAAACATTACAAAAGAAACAAACAACTTTGTTCAAACAATACTGTATCATGTCCATTCTACCTCTTCCTTAATCAGTTCTTTCATTCTGGTGAGATGGGTAGAAATGCATAGAATGAGCTTCCATGGCAACAAAAAATGAATAGAATTCACAATAGTCTGGAAAGGAAAAGATAAAGAAAAGGAAGATAAGTAAGCTATAGATTGTTACATATACATATATATAAAACATATCCAACCTCTTTAGCATCCAGCTGCTTTCAAGAATTTGTCGTAAGGGCTTGATGGTGGCAATCGGAAGGAACGCTGCCCATATTCTTGTGAACACAGGGCAAGCTGTCCCCTTACATGAACTTGCTCCTTGCTAATCAACTTCAGATCTTCCGAAAACTCCATTTTCTGAAATAGAAAATGATAATCCACCAAAACTACAATTATCAGTTTCATAATATCATTTAATTGATTAAAATCATCCTGTAGTGCAGGCCAATTTTGTAACATAAATGTCATGAACATTCTCTTATCTTGAACTACACTAGAAAAGCACTACTTAAAAATGTCTTTTACAAGCATATGGATTCTAATAGACAAACCCAATTCAAAATCAAGGATGTAAAATGTATTCAAACCATGTAAAGCCTCTCTTCCTCCTATTTTGGATAAATATCAAATTACCAGACAGGTTACCAAATTCTGAAGGACTTTAGTTGCCATTTCAATCAAGATGCATAGTGGATTCCTCAAATTTGAAAGACTTTAGATGCAATATTTATCAAGATACATACCGGATTCCTCAATTTGTGTGTAACTTCCATAAACCATATATCCAAAGCCAACTTTGTGCTAAAGGAACCACATGTTATGCAAGCATCATAACAACAGAAAAGATATTGCTGTTTTAAAACTACTAAGAAATCCTTTTTATTTGGAAATTGAAAAAGATTTCTGGAATTCAACCTTTAATAAAACCTGCTATAAATTGGAAAACAGTAGAAAAAATTTATTCTTTGTTATTGTCTTCCACTTTCTTTTAATTAGTACTATTAACTATCATAGATTATACTACTATTATTTTTTATGTGTAACACTATCAATGGTACTGAAAGGTGATTCATTAAAGGTTATGCTTTTGCTTAGGGAAGAAAGTGGAAAGGAATAAACAATAATTAAAGATTCCATTCAAGAAATTAAGACATTCATACAGATGTTCGTCATGTATGTATAAACCAACTCACCACACTTGGTAAATAGAGGACTTCCTTTTCAGTTTGCTCGAAGGTTGCCTTGGTTTCCTGTTGATGCTTGAAGCTATGAAGCACTGACATCTTCTGATGTTTACCCATTACAAGAGCTTCACACTGACTTTTCATTTCGTCATAAGGAATGGGCGTAGGGGAAACTGAAAAGCTTGCAACTTGCCGGGCTGTTTCCAGAACCTGTTGGTGTAACCAACCGTTATAGTTTGTGAAAAAATGAAAGCTAGATAAAACTCTGGAGACATAGAGGGGGTTAAAGTATAAAGAATGTGAAAACTAGATCTCTGGAACCAACAGCCAGAAATGGATTAAATAGTTCTTCAAAAAAGTTCATTAAAGGGCTTTTCTCTCTTCCATCTCCAAGCGTTCAATCTAAATCTAATCAAATCATAGCAACCACCTAGTAATGACAATGTTTGGTTTTTGAATGAAGATCCGAGCAGTATATAAATTTGCCAAAACAGCACGCATACACTTAAGGATACATCCACAAGAATCAGTCCCCCCACATTGTTTTCTTCTTTTCTGTTTCCTTCCAAGTACAATTATGTAACTAGGAATAGGACACCTAAAACAAGAACCCTTCATGGATTAATTTAGTAGGCTTTCTTCCCTACCCAAAAGAATGAAAGATCACATACTCTTAATATAATGCTTCAAGAGCTGACTCTTTTCAAACTTATATATCTATGCTAACACCACACCTTTTTAGAGGAACTCAAAATAAGGTACAATCATAAAGTAACGTACTCAAAATGTGACTCCCAAACCTAGTTTATTTTACCCTTCCAAAATGTCCAAAATGATTTATTCAGCGCCACTAAAACCAAGATGAAGGGTCAAAAGCATAAGCAGCACCAAAATCCAAATGATGACCAATGGAGTTGAATAAAGACATACCGTCCTTCTGTAATTTATAATGTTTCCAAATTCATAGAAAAATTATAATAAAAATAGAAAAATCAATAAAAATACTAATAAATAGAACTGCTCAGCTTACTGAATCCAATAGCTCATTCACACTTAAGACATCTAGTGTACTGATGGATAATGATGTTTTGCGATCTGACTGACTTCCATTGGCTTCAGGGAAGGCTTCTTCTTCATCTGTTATTGCAGCCAGAGGCATAATCTGAAAGAAAATCATTAAGTCAACCACACAATATCACAGTGTTATAGGAGTTAATGTAATACGAACAAGATGTACCTCTTCAAATGCTTGAAACTCCATCAGTGCAAGAGGAGAACATGGTCTTGGTGTCTCCATAAACAATGGAGCACCTAATGGATATACGTCATCTGGTGAAAAGCCCTCAAGAAGTTGTTTCTTTATACTTGATAATTCATCCTGGAAGAAGCAAAAAAGGGATGATAAGAAGCTTGTTTGTGAACAAGCTCCCATAAATGCTGTAATTCGTTTTACATGAAAAATGTGGAACAACTAAATGACATGTGACAACTAATCGTTACCATAGCTATCCAAGAGCATTGATAATCTCATTATAATGTCATTATTACTCTTTATAAGCCACACACCTGAACCAGGGGGGGAGGGACAATAATTCACTTATGACAAGAAATTTGCAAGTTAGGACTAGATTCACTCATTTTATCCAGTTCTTTTCTTGTCTTCAGACCCTTTCTTCTTATATTTCAACAAAGGCAGTAGCTGCCACCACTCAAAGTAACATTACTCCTAACTCCACTCTGTATTAGGATATTTGGTCCTATTAGTTAACAACAGTAGCTACTTGGAGCCCAAATCTTTCACATAACATATCTATTAAACAAAGAATCCTTAACCACCTGGTCTAAAGCACCTTTGTTCAACACTTCATTACTTCAAGAACAAAAAATTCTACATCAATCTAACTGATAATGCACTCAAAACCAAAGGAACCACCTCCTCACTCAACCTCCAATAATAAATACTTATTATTGTCAACAAAGCCAGAGAAGCAGGCACTAATAATCAAGAAACTGATATATCACCTCCGACAATTTCTCAAATTTAGTCATGAAATGGGATATGACAGTCTCCTTCAAATGAAGATCATCTAGCTCTATTGCCAAGAGGGATTCCAATGCAGCAACATCATCTTCCTTTGATCCATATGCTATGCTGTCCACATCAGATTTCATGCAAACAGCCTGAAGTCCGATATCTTCAACTAATTTGAGATAAGGATCAACCTGTGCAAAGGATGAAAAACTCAAGTACCATAAAAAATATAAATGACCTCCTATAGATTAAGGATAAGAAACTGACTGTTTTATCTGTTAGAGATGCTTTAACAAGAGGAATTAACTCTGGAAGATTGCCTGCCCTTGATGAGAAAATAAGCATGTAGGATGCCAAGGTAAAGAGAGACCTTCTGCGAGATGGTTGCAAACCTCCTTCAACATGCATGCAAGACACTAATGTCAGGAGAAGTTTTCACCAAATTTAACAAATTCTACAGAATTTGAGCAACAAATTCTACTTCCTAAGGCTATTCAGTGTAAACCATCCTTTGATGCTAAAACTACTATGTGCATGAACTTACATAAACAATCAACTAGCCCTTTGTTCATCCACTAGGCATATGGATAAAAATACACAGCAATAATTTTAATTATTTAAAGTAAGTATTAAAAAAATTATCAGGGAAAATAAAGGTAGTAAAGTTATTTAAATGTTATACAACGTGGTATGTCGTTTGATGAAAAAAAGGGATTAAAAAAAATAGGAAAATAAATTTTGAATTCAGTAAAACTCTAAAAGATCAACTAAGATTAAATATTTTTAAGAGGAGACCAAGTTGGTGTTATGATACCATCTGAGTCAGTGGCATTAAATATTAGTATAGATATGATTTCCTCAATAAAATAGGAGGGCAAGAAAAGAATCATATTTGATAAGCATGAGCTTTTATTTTGTTTTTCCTTTTATGTTGATTCTGAGAAACATTAAGAGAGCATTGGTGAGACAAAATCAAATAGGATATATAGGATCAGGGGTGTATAAGGAATATTCCTTTGCATGAGTATACAAATGCCTCCGTGCATGAATACGTGTACTACAAGGTTTCCAATAGATAGGACAGCTGGACAAAGATAGCACCATATACCATTAATATAAATTACTTAGTAAATATCTAGGACAAGAAAAAGAATAAACTTTTCTGAGCAAAGTTTCCTTTCCATTTGCTGCTTGAGATGGCTGTTAGCAAAATTAAAGTAGCATATCTAAGACAAAATCAACAAGGATAAACAAGATCACGGAAGTTTATGGAATAATCCAGTGTGTGAGGCTTCCAATTGATAAAATGGACAGAAAGCATAATCCAACTGCATGTATATGTATAACACTGTGCTCTTTCACTCTATAAATATATATATATATATAAATACCAGTAATAATAGATGTAACATACCTTCTTGATCCAGAGAGATACTCCTAAGGGAGAATGCCAGCTGAAAACTCCGAACTAGGGCCATGTGACTGGAGGTCTGTCATCAGCAAAATTTATCAAAAGTCCATGTTCAGGAATAGCTACCAAAATGGACAAAGAGAAACTCTACTGGCGTTAAAGATATGTCACAAATTTCCCTACACAAAATGTAAAAGATAAAGAAGGGGATCTTCTTTAGCAGAAGATCTGGGACATGCCTCTTAGAAACTCAAGGTAATATCCAAATTCTATCACAACCCAATTCTTGGCCCAAGCCACACCTCACAGCAGAAACAACTTGAATATCACATGATAAACCTAACTTGGGTGCTTGAAACAAAAAGGTTAACCATTGCTATCTCACTGTGAGTTTCCTAGATAATGGTAGATGGTGCTGAAAACTAGAAAGAGACGATGAAGGGAGAGTCAGTTTTTTCCTTTTTGCTTTTCTACTTTCACGTAAAGCATCCAAGCTGAGAACAAAGAACTTCTATAATAATTGAAAAGGCATTTACAATATCAAATTAAGCACAATCAGCAGCAGCAGATACTCTCTCTGTGAAACAATAAATAAATAATTTGTTCATTCTTCTATTTTGGGTTGTTCCAAAATGTTTGTTCATTACCAAAACTAACAATCATTTGTTGATTTCACTATTCTAGCCATTACTATATCATACATCATCACCAAAAACAAAATAAAATCAATCATCAAGAGTAAGTTGATATCATAAAAACAACTATATTTCTTGAACCTTGTGAATTGATAAAGGAGATTAATATTTTGGAACAAAGGCAGTATAAAATTATGACAAACCTTGGATCGGGTAAACAATACTGCAATGCTATAGGAATGGGCCATAGCATCAAAATTTGCAGGGGTATTTTCAGCAGAATTTGCTTGGACCCATATGGATGAAAGCAGAAGACTCACTTGATGGCTACTTAATCGAAGGGAAGTGAGCTGCTGAAAATTTCAAATATGTAAGAACACTAAATAGTATCAGTATTGATAACAACACTAAGCAACAGAGAGAAAGCAGTTTCACACCATTTTTCCATCACCCAGACCATGCTTGAAGCTATATGAGTGTCCATGGGACTGACACATTATTGATTTTTTAACAGCCATATCTGATGCTTGATTTACATTTTCTTTTAGTCTTCCATCAACGAGTTCTGCTTGGTCTTTACCTTCATCCTGAAAAGCAAAGCTGTGACTCCTTACCTTCTTGGATGCCACTAACTGATAAGTCAGAACAAACATCTTCAGAAGTGTTTTTATTTTGATCTGACGTAGGTGAAAGCAAGGACGGCATAAGCACAGTGGAGAAAATGTTATGTGCTCCAACTCGAGTTTCATGGTCTGGGTGGGCCATTGCGAGGAGCAACTGGTGAAATAGAGCATCAGGGAAGGCCTGGAACAGATTATAATGTCAGAACATATATGCACATAAAAGATAGGAACAAATATAACAGTATATTACACAAGAACACTTGCCTTCTTGTGATATGATATGTTTGGGATAGATGAGATAATGTCTGCAGTTAGATAAACAGCATAGACAGTTGTTCGGGCAACAATACTGTTGGTTGAAATATTCTCTAGTACAACAGCCATCATATCAAGAATTGGTCCCACATCCCCAACCTGTTAAATACATAAAGAAAATAAGTTTCAACTAAATGGAAAAAACATTTGAATAACAAGAAAAAGTAGTTTCCGTAAGTATCAAATGTAGTTTCTGCAAGTATCTTAAAATAATCAGATTCAAGTAAAACTTGGATGGGTCAAGAACATATTCCCAACCTTATTTGATAGCTGTGAGATACACTTTTCTAATCCCAACTGAAGATCAGTGTTATATTTATCAATATCACCCCCAGAACTTGATATTTCAGTTGAATTTTGAAGGCATTTTCGTAGATACTTCATCAAGTCAGTTATAGTACCGATGATTGCTACTGACGGCTGAGGCTTTGCATTTTGTGCAAGTTGAGTAATGACATCGATAATGTTAACTTGTATATGAGGTTGCTTAGCTACATTCTTATGCTCCATGTGCTTCACCAAGATAGCCAATAAAAGGTGGGACTCCTCTCCTGGCATTAAAAAATAAATACCATTATATCTACAAACGAGTTATCAGAAAAAGTACATATTTACGAAGGATCCATACTAAAACTCCCAAAGTAACCTGTTTCTTCCATTAGCGACTGCAAATACATTAGAACTGACAAAGCGACTCCCTTCTCTCGGGACCAGTGATTTTCAGCATCAAAATTATGAAAAAGAGGTTCAAGAACACGCCGGATAGTTGTTGCTTCTTTTGCCAATCTGGCAATATTACGTAAGATAACTCTCGACCAGTAAGAGGGACTCTTGGAAGTATCCCTGTTATAAAGCCAAATGAAGCAAAGGATGATATTTGAGCATGAAACATATCCTACTGAATTGAATGCAGCAAGAGATATACTGAAATAAAGCCTTACATGGTTGGATCAAAGGCAGAGTTAATCACAAGATTTGGTACAGATGAATCCTTCTCAATGATATCTGGGAAGGAGATACCATTTTCATTTACTTTACTGCCACTGACAGGGGTCATTTGGATATCGGTGTAGTTCTCCAAGGTCACTGATATGATCTATACAAGATAGAAAAGAATTTAAGATGAACAAAAAAGCCAGCACCTACTGCACATCTGTTTGACTAGTGTATGATTTCCTTTCCAATATTTCAAAGGAGATTCAAGAAGCTAAAAGATGAAACTTCAAAATTGAGCTTCTAAGAGAAGCTGAACTAAGAGAAACCAATAGAGAGATTAATCCAAATTTTGGATGGACATAAATATACTTAGTTATTTATATATTTATAACCATTTCAAAACTCTACTTCAATCTTTTTAATGAAACTCCAGCTAGGCCAAAGAAGACTCTTAATTACTTCAATATTTTTAATGAAGCTACAGCTAGGACTAAAATAGACTGCACGTTAAATTGCATCAGGTCAGGAATTCATCAAACTGAATATAAAAGTGCATTGATAGGAAAAGCCACCATAAGAAATGATAACTTACACTATCAAAGTCCATTGATATATGAGAGTGCTCACCCATGAAGCAGACCTATGCACAAGAAATGAGAAAGGAGAAAGTAGTAAATGACCAAAAATGGGAGTGAAAGAAAACAAATACGAGTAAAGGAATACTAAATGAGAAAAGTACAGAAAATGAAACAATATAAATGAACATAAAATCTGAATAAAATTACTTTAAAAAGAAAAACTCAACGAGAAAAAATTCAGGAGTTACTCACTTATATATCTGACTTGTAAAGACTTGTAAGTCAGCTCAACATATTAGAACATAAGGCTAGTCACAGGTTAATAAAAGCTGAAAATTCAACCCAAACATGCCCGATCACCCTTTAGTAATGAATTTTAGACTTGCTGCATCAATTTAGTCCTAAAACCCCAATATGCTCCTTCAGTCCACAAATTATACAAGTGATTTCTTTCAAATCTAGAAAGATCAATCTAAAAATTCAATCATTAGAACTGTTAACTAATCTAAGTTCAACCTCAATCTAGTGTTATAAAACACACACCTATAAAAATCAAAGCCACTGCCCATTAAAATATATTTCACAAAGTCAGCCCCTCAATTTAAAGGATGTCTTCTAACAGAGGATTTAGAAGCAGAAGCTACTTGAAAATACTAAATCAACCAGCTGTATCATAATCTTAATAGGCCCATACTTTTATAAACTGGTAGACAATAGTCATTGCCAGCAACTAAACCAGCAAATTCACTGGAAACAAGTCTAAATCAGCAGAGTAGGAAACTTGCAAAGAAGGAGAAGACTGGAAAGACATGCATGCAACTCCAACAACTATTAGATACAAGAATAATAGGTAAAAAGGAAAACAAGTGACAATTTTCATATGCATGTATGTGTCCTAAGGAAGAAAAGTTATGGCTACTTAGAAATATTAACTTGAGCTGATGTAAGTGCATGTATTATACTGGGCAAAAGCATTTCTTAGGTGAAAAAAGTCAAGATTAAAGTGAGAATACTACCATGGAAGCCAGCACTTGCAACCCTGCTGAACGTAAACGCAAAGCTCTGTCATCATCTCCATCTTCTTGAGCCAGTTGACAAAGTTTAGGAATAAGGCCCTCTAAGTGGAACATGTGTGTACCATCCATCTAGTTTCAAATCCCATACAATTAGAAAAACTTCATTAGTTACAGCTAATATGTAAGGCATGCCATCTATATTCTGTTTGCAATCTAAAGCCTACAAGTGAACTGCTATATAATCATTCCACAGGTCTCAGTCCAGTCATCAGATCTGTGAAGAGCTCCTTCAACAGAAGTTGTCTACTTCAAAAACATAAAATCCCATTTATGGATAGCATAAAGTTCAAAAAATATGGGTACTACTGGCATATACATACTACTACACACCTGACTATTTATGAACTCTACAAGAGCAATGCAACCCATAATTCGCAATTCATCCTGTCGGGTTTGTTCCAAAAGAGTCCGAATGATCCCTAATAAACTACTAGCAAAGAGTGGCCTGCAAGAATAAAGAGCTCCTTTAAGTGTCACATATAAAAAATATATACTTAAATCACATTTACATTTTACACTTAAAGGCTACCTCCTAAACTAACATAAATATGAAACTATATAAACCCTAAATGCTCTATCAATTCCCTAAATTCAAAAACTTAAAATTGAACCAATGAAAATAGATAAAAATTACTAGAATAATTTTCTAAATAATTTAATCCTTCAATAAGCATGACCTTGTCCCGCACCATAAACCCAGTTTATTTTTAATGCAAAAACATGGTTAGGATATGAAAGAGACACTGACAAAAAGAGAGAGAGATCAATTAAATGTTAGAATTGCAACACGTCAAACTTACATTTGCTCCTTACATGACGATAGCAGTTTCCTATAAATGCACAATACAACTTTCACACATGCAACGTTCTCATTCCGTATATCCTTGAAACATCTTTGCTCTAGGTTACTTGTAATCTGTGCAGACAAATTATTTAAAGATGAGAAAAAAATAAATCAACAGGCAATTCAGTGAAGTTATATGTATTACAGGATATAGTAAATTTTAGGGGTGTAAGCGAACAGAATTTTCGACGAACCATTCGTGAACAAGTTCGGTTTCTGTTCGTTTATATTCGTTTACTAAGCTTAACAAACGATCTAGAACACCATTTGTATGTTTTTTTATTAAACAAACCGAACACGAAGAGCTATCTATTCATTCATTTATGTTCATGAACAAGCTCGTTTACGGCTCGTTTATCGTTCATTTATTGTTTGTTTATTGTTCGTTTATAATAATACTAATAAAATTATATTTTTATCCTCTACCCTAATCCTATTTTAATGTTCGTTTATGTTTGTTTGGGTTCGTTTGTTTAAATTTGTTTGGTTATGGTTTGTTTATTGTTCATGAATGGGTTCATTTATATATCTTCGTGAACATGTTCGTTTAGTATTTATGAACAAGCTTGTTTAACTTAATTGAACGAACACGAACAACCTATTATTTAAACGAACGAACATGAACGAAAAAAGCAATTCTCTTATGAACAGGAACTGAACACGAAAACTTTTAAAAATAACACAAATATACGCTTGTTCGTTCATGTTCGGTTCATTTGCAGCCCTAGTAAATTTCAAACACCTCATGGATACTTCTATTAATTTGAATTGTGACAAGATTAATACCAATTCAAAATTTTCAGTCAGTTTTGAACATTTCTTGACAAAATTTACCTACATTTCAAAAAAAAAAAAAAAATTTGCAAACCACTTTGACTTTAACTAATATAAAATAATCATTTTAAAAGCAAGATTTAAATCCTAAACTACTAGAAGATATCAAGCATAGCTAACTTTATTAAAATAGAAACCAAGATAAAGTTACCCACGTTCTCACTTACAAGTTTCATAGTTTCATTTAAATTAACAGAGATAAGCACTTGCAAACAAAAATTGTGGCAACCAACATTGACAACAGAAAAAATTAAAATTTTAGAAATTCCATATTAGAATCAAACTCCACCAAGAATAAATGAACCAAAAGAAAAGCCATACCTTTGGTATTCGTAACGGGTTCCTCGAGGCATATTCACAGAGCTTCCCAATTTTCCTATCATTCGGTTCAGCATCCTGTCAAATAAAATTGGAAAAAATGGTAAGCATTTCGAACACCTTAATTTCTTCACTTACTTTCTTTTTCCTTTCTCTGCCCAGGGTCTGAGACGAGGGTGTACAGCAGCCTTCAAACTGCCTAAAGACCATGCAAGCAGAACATAAATGCCTTACTTCCCAAACATCAGCAGAAACTAATAGCAATATGGCCTCTTCTTCCTCTATTTTGGTTTCATTCAACAGTATATTAATCCATAAATATTAGAAATTTAAGCAGCCAAAACCAAAATAACAGCAGCAGTTGTGACAGATCTTACAGACATATAAACAATATCATCACTTGATACAAATGGACAATATCATAATCATACTACACTTAACCGAATTCAATACCATTGATCATCAATCAATCAGTACAAAACAATGAACAAGAAAGACTAATATCCAAATGCAATTTTTATTCAAAGATCCAAACATTTAACAAAATTACTAGTCAAAAATTCCCAAAATTCAAGGGAAAAGTCACAGAATATTATTTGATACAATACCTGATTACGGGGGAAAATGTCAGCTAGTAACTTCTTGTATCTTTTAACAGGCTGTCTTGACCTTGCACGCATCGAAGGACAGAAGAAACAGAGGTTACCGCAGACGGGGACAACCCGTCTTGACATTACCCCCATTTTTTCTTTTCAATCCAAACAAACACTTATCTGAAAATCCAAAATTTAACACCAAAAAAATCAATTAAAAATACTATATCAAAAATTGAAAAACATGAACAAAATTTGCCATAACGGTTAGACTCAAAACAACATAAAGAAAGCATTATATTCAAGGTAGAATTAGCAGAATTTGAGGTTCATCAAACTTTTTTATACCTCAAAACCAATCCAATTGCTCGAAACTCTTAATCTACCAATAAAAATAGTTCATCAGATCTGAAATCTGAATTAGCCCTGAAAGATGAAAATTAATTAAGAGAAAAACGGTTCAACAAATATAGTTCCAGAAAATACAAAAGTCTAATTCATTCGACTTTATATATAAAAATTAATCATCAAATTAAATTTTGGATTGCAATTTTTTTTTTAAATCAAAATCTTTTTACCTTGATAAACTGCCAGTTGGGGGAAGAGAAAAGGCTCCTCTGGTCTCCCCCAAACTGTGTTTTTTTTATTAATTTTATTGTAGATAATTCTTAAATTATTCTTTTTTTAGCACTGCGATAAATTATAAAACAATGAAGATAAAGTTACGGAACGGTTAGATTTTGGTAAGGAAGGGTGGCCCACGTGTAATGCTCTCATTTGTTTAGTGCCGTGTTTTCGAAGGTTTGATTCTAGCATCTCTTTCTGAACCATATCCCGTCAGCCATATGATGACAAAACCCCCAACGGTTCCGATAATTAAGGGGTGTTAATTGTTACTTTTACATTTTTCTTTTTATTATTTTTTTCTTATTATCAAATTACCCTTAAAAATTTTAAAAACTTATATTCATAAATAAATGGCTCAAGTATAAAAAAAATTTAAATAAAAATTAAATAAATATCTAAACTTCTATTAGTTTATTGTAATTAATTGAATCAAAATATTTATTTTTATTTAATTAAATTCTTAAAATTTTATTTTTAATTAATTAATTTTTAATTAAATTTTTTAAATTAAACATTCGATTAATCAAAAATGAATATTGACACTTGACATTTAAGAAATTTTGATATAACAAAAACTCAATCGATAAAAATAAATATTTTAAAATTTAAATTTGGATGATAACAAAACAATTTAATAAAATCTAAGTCAATTTGTTATATATATGTATCATCTTATTGTTTATTTTTATTGCTATCTTTTACTTATAAAATAAATTATAAAGCCAAAATAAAATAAAAAATTTTAAATTTTTAAATAATATTTTATAAAAAAATTATATAATTTAATTAAATTAAATTTCGAATTTATATTTATTTTCGACTCTTATCTTATATGAATATCTGATGTCCCACTGTTTTTTATTTTGATTCATCTCATGGGTATGTATAGATATTCCCTTTTTTCTCCATGGAATATTCAAAAAACTAAAGTTTTTTTTCTCTCTCCAACATAATACAATCATTTTTTGTCTGCACATGCACACATATCAAAACACTGTAACAATGATTAAGTAGCAATAAAATTAATGGGACCCACTACAATAAATTTTAACTTGATTAGCCCTTTTTTATGAAATTAGCACTTCCAATTTTTTTCAAAGATATGGTATCAATCTAACCCACTTTTATAAAATACTAATCTTAAGTAAAGTTTTGGTAAAGTTTTGATCAAAAACATAATCAAATTTTTGCCAATCAATGGTCCCCCCCCCCCAAGCCATTTCAATTTCCTTGTTGAATAAAGCAAATCATGGCTATATTGGATTATTGTCATAATAGTAAACTTTTTAATCTTTCATGTAGAGTTAAAAAGTTATTTGCATGTCCCATTAAATTATATTTCTATATTAATTTGCATGTATCAATGTCCTATAATAGCAAGCAAACTTAATTCCAAGTCAATTTAATTGGAAACTATGTGATTAGATACAAGGTTTTTAGCTCCATATTCCATTGTTTTTCACAATTTTAATGTAAAAACTTTTTAATTAAATTTTTTTACTTGAAATTATTAATATTTAAACTATAATTATGAAATTAAAAATTTAATATTCTATCAATAATCCATAAAATTGTTGACAAATGAATTATGATTAAATACATAAAAAAGAATTATTTAGATCATAAATTTTTTTATACTTATGTATTTTTTAATCTAATCATCAATAAAAAATTTTATTTAAAATTAAAAGAAAGAGTATATTCAAATTAAAAAATAAATAAGATCATTTCCCACAATTCCATACAAGAAAATGTAATTGTATGACTAATAATGTGTGATGAAAAAAAACAGGTTGGCTTTATATAAAGGAAGAAAAGAAATAAAGAAACTAAAGAAAGCAAAAGTGTGGGCTTCATTGATCTTTTCTCTTCTTTTTGTAAATTTCTAACTTTTTTTTTATTTGATAAAATGATTGCCACAAGCACTTGGATTCCTCTAAAAAAAAAGCATATCCATGGCCTACAACTATAAAGCAAAGCTTATCCTGCTCTTTTTTTGCTTTAAATTTAAAGGGGTTTTTTTAAAATATAATTAATTAAAAGTGTTAAATTGTTTTGATTAAGTTGAATAAAATTATACCAACTCTATTAGTTTTGGCTTGGATCACTTGACTCATTTTGGACTTCCAAAAAAAAATTTATATATGAAACCTATAGGTTTAATTAGTTTATAATTTTTTCAAATAAATATAAATTAAAAATAATTTCAAACATTTGATTCAAAAGTACCTAATCTTTTTTTTTTAACGATAAAGTGTTTCTAAATTTTATTCAATCTTTTTTTTATATAATGATTGAAGCAGATTTATCTAATTCATATTTATGTCATTAATTTTGATTAAAAAAAATATTATGAAACAGCAAAAGATGGGTAATTTCCTAAACAAAGTTAATTTGATTTATGGGAACATATAGACATAAAAGTGTGTTTTATTTTGGTCCTAATGCAAAAATTTTGCATCAAAGCTCTAAAAAATTCATACAAAAGAGTTTTTAAAAGAAGGCAACTTTGATCACAAGCTCTTCACTGTCTTTGGTCTTACCACTATTTCTTGATAGATAAATAGGAAGATTCCTTGTGGTTTCCTTTTGTCTCCTAAAGTTGAAGATCATTATGATTGATTTGGACCATGACACAAACTTGTAACATTTAAAAAAGAAAATTAAATTAAAATTTTTTAATAAATAGAGAGATCTAAATATTTATTATTGAAACAAAAATTCAAATGTATTTTGCTATATTTTTAATATATTAGGTAATCATTCACAAACTAAATCTATTATTAAGAAAAGTATTTTCTATGATTCGAATTTTTTTTGTTTAAATCTATACATTAGTTTTTTATATAATATATGTTTCATGTTAATATTTATTTTTTATTTATTTTAAAATTATAATTGTACACTGTACAAATATTTAAAATTATGTAAAGTTTGTCTTAATGCAAAATAAATTATTATTTGTTTTATTGACATGTCAAATTTGTCTTAGGTACAAAATGATAAATATTTCCACAATATAAATTTATTATATATTTTCAGATTATGATTATAATTTTTCATTGGTATATGTAATTTTATTAATAAACAGATCAAATCATATAAAATTATTTTGTTCTTGGGTATTTAGGCAAACAAATAGCTAAACGTTTTCCAAAATCTTTTGAGTTTACTTAATCATTTGATGTTTTTACTATCTTGATGAGAGGATCCAAAGTTTTATTGCTGACAGTAATATTAAATGCTTATCTTGCATGCTAACTAGGCAATTGAAAATTAGTTACTTTCAAGGCCTAGCTTCGCTAGATGTTGGTGAAATGAATGGAAAGGAGATTTTCGTTGGATTGAGGGAAGTGTCGTAGCTGCAATTGTTGATTTGGCAGCGATGGATTCATAATTTTCTTAGGTAATATATATATATATATATATATAATTATTTACAGGTTTATTAATTTTATCGATAAAAAAATATTAAAAAAACTTTTGATGTATTTTTTTTTTTCAAATTCTCCTTTTTTCTTTAATATTTGGAGGTGATTATGAGCACCCTACTACCCCATTTGGATCCGCTCTGTGGCTTACTTAGGTTCATGCCAGAAAGAGGAGGTGAGGAAGCTCCATGCAAAGATGGTTGAGATGTACTTGGAGGGGCCATGGCGGATGTTTTAACCTTGATGTTGTATTAGATGAAGATGGATGGGATGTAGGAGAAGGTGCAGCTGCAGACTGTGTTGAGCTTGCAGAGTTGCAGTCGTGTTTGGCAAAATTAGTTGAATGGAAGCCGTAGGTGCAATATTAGGGAAAGATGGGTGGCTTGAAGTAGCATTGAGGATTGGGGCAAAGCTTGGAGAGCAGAAGGTGACATTGCAGGTTGTGTCAAGATTGGGGTTGAGTTGGATATTGATGGATTATTGTTAGGCAAAGATGTTTGGGGTGGTATTAGAAAGGTGGTTGAGAGGAAGCTATAGGTGTTATTCCTGGTTGTATCAAGTTTGACGTTGAGTTGGATATATAATGATGGACTGTTAGTAGGCAAAGATGATTGGGTAGTGCCAAGCTTGGTCGAGTTTGGTCTTGGTTTGACTATGATGGTTGAGAGGAAGCCATAGGTGATATTCCAGGTTGTGTCAAGCTTGGCAATGATGAACTATTAGTCGGCTCAGATAGTAACATGATAGAAGGCGATGTTACAGGTAGTGCCAAGCTTGGCTTTGAGTGGTTCAGAGGTAGCCATTGGTGCCATTCCAGGTTCTGTCAAGCTGGGTGTCGAGTTGGAGAACAATGGACTATTAGTAGGTAAAGATGGTTGGGTGGTAGCAGAAGGTGATTTTGCGGGCAATGTCAAGCTTGGCACTTTATCAGGTGAAGATGGCTGCGAGGAAGCCATAGATGCCAGTCCATGTGTCAAGCTCGATGTTGAGTTGGATTATAATGGGCTAGTTGTAGGTAAAGATGGTTGGGTGGTACCAAAAGGCGAAGTAGCAGGCAGTGTCAAGCTTGACACAGCCATGGGTGCCATGGTAGGTTGTGACAACCTTGGTATTGAACTGGATGAAGATGAATTTTTAGCAGGCAACGATGGTTGGGTATAGTAACTGAACCCGACTTTGCGGGCAGTGCCAAGGTTAGCCCTTTATTTGGTGAAGCAGAAGTCATAGGTGCCATAGCAGGCTGTGCCAAGCTTGGCATTGAATTGGACGACAATAGACTGTTACTAGGCAACGATGGTTGGGTAGTAGCTGAAGGTGAAGTGCCAGTCCAGGTGTCAAGCTCGATGCTGAGTGGGACTATGATGGACTATTAGCAGGCAAAGATGGTTGGGTGGGTACCAAAAGGCGATGTTGCAGTCACTGTCACACTTGACACTTTATCTGATGCAGACGGAGGAGTAGAAGCCATGGGTGCCACAGTCGGCTGTGACAAGCTTGGTATTGAACTGGATGAAGATAAATTGTTAGTAGGCAACCATGGTTGGGTAGTAGTTGCAGGCAGTGTCAAGCTTAGCACTTTATTTGGCGAAGCAGAAGTCCTAGGTGCCATAGCAGGCTGTGCCAAGCATGGCATTGAATTGGACGACAATAGACTGTTAGCAGGCAACGATGGTTGGATAGTAGCTGAAGGTGAAGTGTCAGGCTTTGTCAAGCTTGGTATTTTATCTGGTGGAGACGGATGAGTAGAAGCCATAGGTGACATAGCAGGATGTGCCATGCTTATTGTTGAATCGGGTAGAGATGGATTATTTATAGACGAAGATGGTTGGAAATTAGCTAAAGCTGACATTGCCGGTTACATCAAGCTTGGCTTTGTTTTACACAAGGATGGATGAGAGGCCATCGGAGCCATTGTGGACTCTGTTCAGCAGGGCTTGAAATAGGTGAAGATTGCTGAGGAGTGGGTTGTGTTGAGCTTGGGACTGTATTAGATAAAGATGGCTGAGAAGAAGCCGTAGGCCCCATTACAGGCTGCACCAAGCTTGGCGTGAAATTGGGCAGAGATGGTTCTCTAAAGCCAAGGGTGGTGCAGTTGATTCTGATGAACTTGGAATGGAACTAGAAGCGTATGGATTAGATATGGCCAAAGGACGCTCTGCAAGTGCTGTCTAACTTGATTTTGAACTAGGCGAGGGCAGTACTGATGATTGTGGAGTTGACATAGACAGCATAGACGGAGCTGGAGACGTTTTGTCAAGAAGATAGCAAGCAGCTGCCAGGTTCATTTCAATGCTCCAAAGCATGACAATAATAGAGAAAACCAACACTAAGAAACAACTGCTAGAGGCCATTACCGTATAAGCTTAGATTCTTGCGAAGAAATGAAACAAGTACGAGCCAAGATTGACAAACAGAGGGGTTCCCCATGTTTTCTTGAGGGAAAAGCCATGACTGGTTTTCAGTTTTATAGTTCAAATGTGATCATTGATAGTTGGTGGTTAGTCATCATGTGGGATTTGAAAATCCCAAAAATCATCCATAAATTCGTATCTAAGCTTTACTTTCGGTTTCCTCTTTGCACTGATAACAATATAATTCGTTCCTGTGATTGACTGAACTAGTTTAATTTATTAAATCCAACATCATCAAAGACATGAAGTCAAATTATTTCTTCAAGGTCCACTGATTCCATATCCCCTTTTGGATTCAAATCAGAAATAGTAACCTCCAAATCAAAGCATTAAAGGTGCCTTTTATTGATTAATTTCAACATTGTGGAAATCCTCCAACTTTCTTTATTATTCTTAGTTAAATAAATTCATCTTCAACCTGGCCTAACTTCGGCTACCAAACCAAACCCACTATAGCTTAGTTCAAACTTTTTGACCTACAATTCTAACTTAATTTCATTTTTCCAATTAAATTATTAAATTAACAGAACTCTTTTTAGTAGATGGCTATTTTTTAATCCCTATATCCCTGGTTAAAAGGTGCTGATTAGTTAAGGAATCATCACCTAAGGGGAATGAAGAAAGGAAAAGAAAAACTTTTTGGTTACATCAACTGAACATTCTGGTTTTTCTTTGAGCTGGTATGGAGAGGAAGAAGAATTTTTACCGCACATTGTTGAATGATTATGTACTTTCTATTTTGTCAAATTGTAAATCAGTTTTTAATCTGATTGTACTCTTTTCAAATTAATAATGGTTTCGAATTGTCCTAAAGTCCACTGAAACAAGAGTTGACAGATTCTATTCCAACAGAAGCAAGATTATCAAGCTAGTTGTGATTTCTAACTTATAGAATTCCCATGAATTAATACCCTGTGAATGCAAAAATTCTATCTATTGCCAAACGTAATGAAAGAATATACTCAGATATCAAAAACTCAAAGCTAGAAACAAACACTCAAGTTAGAGACAATCACTGAAAATCCAAGTTTTGAACTTGTGTAAGCTTTACTGTGTTTATGTACAAAAGTGAAGGGAAGATTTAACTCTCCTAAAAAAATTCCAAGCTAGAAACAATCACTGAAACTCTAAGTTTTGTGCTTGTGTTAGCTTTACTGTGTTTATGTACAAAAGAGAAGGGAAGTTAACTCTCCTAAAAAACTGTCAACTCCAGTAACCCACATGGAAAACCTGATTCTCATATCTTTGAGGATTCCAATTATACCAATGATAAGCACATTTTAGCATTGATGATATAATTGGTAAATTGTGAGCCATTAGGCATTAGCAAGCCAAACTACCATGGCAAAATCTTCTATGTTTCCAACACTACATCCTAAAGCATTTAGTAGAAGCTTGGGTGACCATTTTTGACAGATTGTCCACTTTTCGCACAGGCTCTGTAGGCTGTAACTGGAGCCTGAAGGGGGAGTGTCTATGGTCTATGCTATATAACCAAAATACAAATGGTTTGCGTTTGTTGCCTTTTCCTTGTTTTTGTCTCTCTCTAAACAAGTCTGTACATAAATACTTAAAGCCTTTCTAATTTGTAGATGAGCTGAAAACTAGAATTAGCATTGATTTACAATGTTCATAAACAATTTACTACTTTACATGTCATTAGCTTCAGACTTGCTTTCTCAAGCAAGCTTTAACCCGAACATTTAACTCAATAGTAAGTGCATATATATCTACAAGCTTGCTCGAGCAAGCTTTAACCTGAACATTTAACTCAACAGTAAGTGCATAGATATCTATGAGCTTGCTCGAACAACCTTTAACTCGAACATTTAACTCAGTTGTAAGTGCATATATCTCTACTCAAAGATGAAGTCTACAAGCACAAGGATGAATTGTGCAAGTTTTACCCAAATATTTAGTTCAATTCCCCATTTCTCAAATGAAAAAAAAAAAAAAAAAAAAAACCTTATCATACTTCATTTTGTTTCAAAAATTGCTGCTACTAAGACTTTCCAAAAGAAGCTACCAAGTTTATGTTATACAAGTAATGAGATTGAGAAACTACAAACAATGACCCCTTTCACCAAAACAATGTATAATGTAATATTATTAATTTCAATGAAACAAATTTCATTTTGGTTAACTGAAAAGGAAAAATTCATCAATTGTGAATCAGACTAAATTTATTCAGAACCCTAATCTGTGCAAATAGAAGCACCAAAAAAACAAATCTTTTATTACAGAAAACAGGGGCAAAAATTATTTCGAAATGAAAACCTAACCTTAGCTAGGCTCGATTTCGCCCAACCTCTCGGCACCATCAATCTCGACACCAACGCGGCGTAACGAATCAAAGAGCGGCGTAAGCAATCTGCGTCGGTGAATGGGTATGGAGATCTCTTCATTAACATCGATGGAGATGTTGCTGACGCCGATTTCCTTCAAGCGGAAGCCGAGTTTCTCTCCGACTCTGGAAGCCACTTTGGCGTCCCAGTAAAGGTGGGAGCGGGGGAATTGACTGAGCTTAGAGCGGTATTGGATGAGGAATTCTTGCTCGGTGGAGGAGGCCATGGCGACGATGTAGGAGGTCCCTGGCTGTGTCACGTGCGCCGTGATGTTGCGGCATGAGAGGACCAAGCGAAGCACGTGCTGACTTTGAGTTGCTGCCATCGGCTCTAGCAGAATTTCCGTTTCGCTTCATTGGGGAAAACCAAACTTATCGTCGGGTTAATAAAAATATCGTTTCATATTTATAAAAATAAAAAAATAAAAAAATCTCTTTAATTGTTTTTAAAATTTGTCACATATATAATAATAATTTTTTGTTTGATTTCTTTTATTATTTTTTTCTAATTTTTTAAAATTAAAAATATATTTAGATGTAAAAAATATTTATTATAATATATCAAGAATTGAAAATTAATAATCTAAATTTTAAACTCATTTTTTTGTTTACAAGATTTTTAGTGATGGGAAGGTGATGTTTGGTATTCTTTATAAGATTGTGATAATGTAATTATTGAATTAATTTTACTATTAAAATGATTTTATACTTATGATTTAAAATTATTTTATTTGATTATCAATTATTAAAAATTAGTAATTAAAGATTTGTGTTTGTGTTTAATATTATTAAAAATAAATATTATTTTTGTGTAAAAGTATAAAAAATTTTGCGTTGTAATAGTTATTAATTTAATGATTTTAATATTATTTAAAAATAATAATTTATAAAATATTTGTAATATTTATTTATTTTACAATAAAATATAATTAAATTATTAAATTAATAAATATATTTATTGATATGTAAATTAATTTTTATAATATAAATTATGTAAAAAATATTTCAATTAAAAAATAAAACTAATTTATTAAATCAGGAAAAAAATAAAAAGATTATATTACTATAAAATTATTTAAAAAACATAAATTATGTTTAAACTTGTTTTAATAAATATTACTTTTAAAATATAAAATTTATAATATAAAATAATTACAATTTAAAAAATAAAATTTTAATTTACATTTATTTACTATCATTTAAAAATATAAAAAAATTATGTGTATTGTAATATTTATATAATAATGATTTTAATGTTATTTAAATATAATAATTTGTAAATTATTTGTAATATTTATTTATTTTATAATAAAATATAATCAAATTATTAATTAATAAATATATTTATGGATATGTAAATTAATTTTTATAATATAAATTATGTAAAAAAATATTTTAATTAAAAAAACTATTTTTTAAATTTATAATAAAAATAAAAAGATTATATTATTATAAAATTATTTTAAAAAATAAATTATTTTTAAACTTGTTATAATAAATATTACTTTTAAAATATAAAATTTATAATAAAATATTACAATTTAAAAAATAAAATTTTAATTTACATTTATTTACTATCATTTCATCTTAATAATAAAATTTTTTCAATTTTTTAAATAAAAATTAAATCATTCCTAAAGATAATGATTTAATGACTTTTGATAATCATTCATCGTCGTCAAATAAAATTATCACATACATATCAAACAAACACAATAATTTAATCTTTATATATAAATCATCGTAATTTTTAAAATAATTACTTTATATAGCAAAAATTAATTAAAATTTTTTTCCTTTATGACTGAATTTTTTGTTTTTCGAATCAAGCTAAATAGATCATCAGTTAACTAGTTTATCCCTTTGATTTTACATTTATATAAATAAAAACAAATACATTAGAAATTAAAAATAAAAAAAAAACTATTTTTGTGGGTTTCGTAGTAGTTGGGATTTTTCAACGTACGTGAATACGATAAAAAAAAACACAAAAAATAATATAATTTAAAATTTTAATAATAATTATATATAAAATAAATAAAATTAAAATATATATTTAATGTTTTTACACAAATTATAATACATAATTATTTTATAAAACATCAATCATATGAACCAATTTTAATATTTTGTGTCACTAATTTCACGAATTTCCGGGTCCATTCAATGCATAACTTGCATTCTTGGGTGTCGGAGCTCGGAGCGAGACAGGAGAGCAAAGGAAGAAAAACAAAAGTTGTTCATCGGTGCTAAATCCAAGACGAGAATGTCGAAACCGAAATCTAGGTTAATTCTATCCTTGGTGTTCCTTCTACAACTCCTTATTCAATCCTCATGGACGGTTGCAACTACCAGGTACATTACAATCTGAGAGAAAAAGTAATTTCCCAAGAAAAATTATAGTCGAAAGAGTTTTGGGTAGTTTTATTTCTGCGTTTCAATGAAAGAAATTTAATTGGACTAATTTTCTAGGAAGGAGATTGGCTTTCCAGAGAGGCGTATTTGCAGAACAACTGTACAAGGAAGATATTTATTATCTGATGATAATGGTAAGTTACTCCCATTTCATAATTTTTCTTTTTGGACTGCAATGTTCAAGCTTTGGGATTTGTAAATTTTGAAAAAAAAAATGTTAATGGAATTGAAGGTTGGAAATGTAAAGGAAAATGGGTATGAAAAACTGCATGATAAGAATTAGAAGCTGTTTCTTGTTTCCTTTCTTGCATTTCTGGGGTTACACATGGTTTCTTCTTTATGAAACTGATTCGAAAATGTTACTACAAAAATATATAAAGGAATCATTTTTTGTTAAGCAAATATAGATCAAGCAATAAACTTTATTAAATATTGATACTTCAAAGATATATCCCTGTAGTTTATACGCTTTCATCTTTTGCTATATCCACACATTGGTCACAAATCTACAAACAGAAAGGCGAGAAAAAATCCTGGTATAGAATGGAAAAGAGAAAGGAAGAAGTTTGATATGATGTGTTTTAGGACTTAATTTACACTTCGCAAGTCGCAATTTAATTTTTACTGCTGAATTTGCATTCAACTTTTTAATTACTTGTTAATGCATACTGTCGCTACTTGAGAGTCTGCATAAGTCTTATTGTAATTCTAACTTTGGTTGTTGTGTTACATATTGTATTCGGTCTGGCATTTCATAATGTCTTTTAGTTTCATGAGCTTCATACCAGTGTATACATTGTAGGCTATGTGTGTGATGCTCTCTCATTGGATCCACAGTCCCGTTGCTGTCCTGAAAGAGGAGACAAATTCTCTTGTCAGTGAGTTTATTTTTTCTAAGTTCTTCATGATTCTGACTTAAACACTATCTTCATGGTACCTTGTAATACCTTCTGTTTTCATTTGCAGTGGATGCAATGTTCTTTCACAGTGTTGTAACTCCTATGAATTTTGTGTTTCATGCTGCCTGCACCCTGCACAAGTATCTTTTTGAGCACTCTTATTTTCTTTCTTTTTCCCCTTTCTTTTGGCTATGATAGGCATAATTAAAATTTACACCAAGATTTCTTTTGCAGACACAAAAGGAACAAGTGCTGAAATTGAAAATAGCAAAGCCATCTACAGCAGGTAAGTTTTCAGTTTTGTTAGACACAATTGCGCATTTCCTTCAGAAGAGGGGCAATGGGATGAAGTCTCCTGCCTCTGCTAGGATGTGTATGTCTGTTTTCATGGCATGATGACAGTCCTCATAAACATTTCTGATGCTTGTCTCTTCTAAGTTGATGCCCTTTTGTGTGGAAACATGATTGTGATTAATAAGAAGTTATTTTCAATCTTTGTCATCTGCTATAGTAAAAAGCCTCAGATACTCTTACTCTTTGGACTTTTTTTTTTCCCAAAAGTAGATTTTCATATTTATGACAAATATACATTACTTCTGCTCCTTTTGGGGTAATTCTTTTGCTTTCTTTCTTAAGAATCAGTTTGTAAGATAGTTTATAGTTTATCTGGAAATATACTAGCTACTTAAAAATCTCCTATGGCAGAAACTCTTGCAATATTCTTTTGAATATGATGGTTTTGCCTAAATTTGGGACTATGAAATTGACTATTGTGATCAAAATTTGTTTTGAATGATCTATTCCTGCTTCTGAGTAATTACTGGCCCTTGTCTTCTTGGTGGTAGTTTGTTCTTCTGAAGCTATATTTAATTAGAAAAATTATGGTACTCTTTCTTTCAACAATGGTATAGCTACCATTTAATGGATTCTCTATGAGGTACTATAATACTAGGTCATCATAAGTCTTCTTTCTTTCTTTCTTTTTTTTGCCCCTCCTGGCAGGTACTTATTTCAGTGTCTTTGATTTTTGTGCTGGGAGGTGTCGTCATAACTCCGAAAGTGTGGTAAGTGATGTTCTATAGATATAGGAATATATTTATGGTGCCCTGGATCATTGCTTTTTATTTAAAAGAAAAAGTAGTTATCTTGGTAAGATTTCCTTTAGACTAGTGGTGGTGAAGACTGTGATGCTAATGCTATAACTCACTAACCGCAATAATGGCTTCTGTTTATTTTTTAAAACTATGATACAGATTGGTTAAATGAGCTTTATGTTTCAGGTTCACGAAAATGCCTACGTTAGTGATTTTCATCATTGCTTTTCTCTGCCATCAAATTATTCTGGTATGTTTAGACATGACTTTGCTTTTTACATTATTATTATTGTGTCTTTGCCTCTAATGGTGTAGTTTTTTTACATTTTCATACCTTATACCTTCTACTTAAATTCTGTTGCTCTGATGTAGCACAAGATAGGAAAAGAAAGAGAAAATAAAGAACTGAGAGAAATCTGAAAGAAAGGAAAGAAACATTAGAAATTGAGAGGTTAATAGACGGATGAGGGAATTGAAATAGAGGGATAATCCAAAAGCTTGTAGAAAGTGATATAGACTACTCCATTATACTTGCTAAATAAGCATATATTAATTAATTAACCTCAAATACCCCTGAAATCTCTATTGATCCAATAAACTATAACAAAAGATCTTATTTTTTTAGTGCATGATAGTGACACCCTTTCTTTTGATCTTTTTGAACTCATATAGCTTGCTGTTGAAATCAACAATTCTCCTTTTGCTGTTTGAAATCAACGATTCTCCTTTCTGATTTAGTTCAGGAGGCAGCTATTTAGTACCAAATTATATGGGTTTGAATTTTCTTGCAACAGGTGCCACTGTCACACCTGTAGAAGCTAGACTAAATGGAATTAATGTTGTCATTGGAAGGTGAGTCTCCATTGTGATTGGTTCTATTCTTGATTCTAACATGTAATACTCTGTTGAGCTAATACTTTTTCTCTTTTTCCCATGAAACAAAGGCAAGGAGAGTCTTGTGATTCAGTTTGCAAGTTAAATGGACAATCATGCGTACTAAATAAACTTTTGGTTCTTAACCAGTGTGATGTGTAAGTTCTTCGCCGTCTTTTTCTTTGTTTCCTTTCATAATATTTGGTTTTGTTGTTCATTATTTGCTTGTATATGTGGTGGCTAAATATATTCTGGAGTGTTTTCATCTGTTTCGTTGATCTACCTACGATGACAAGAAGCATACCACACAAAGATCTACATGCTGGTTGAGAAGAGCATAAAATGAACATATACACATGCACATAGTTTAATTGACACAGACATTAAGATATGCTATAGGAGTTGGGATAACTTGCAATAGCTCTCTTTTAAATATATATATATAGAAATTCTATATAGCTTTCTCTTAAGAAAATTTTTATTTTCTTTCCGTCACCTTCTTTCTCCTTACCCTATGTGTATGTATGGCCTAAGGAATGAGGATAAGCTTCATTACCTTCCTTCAGCTGAGCTTAATTTGGCTTTTTCCTTGTTGAGATGCCAATCAATTAACAAAAGTGTGCGAGAGCTAAATAACCTCATGCCAAAACTGCCTCATCTATCTACTACATCTTATGGTGATTTCTCCACTTTTCCTATTGTAATTTCATGTTTTTCTTTTTGCATCCTCAAAAATTTTGCTGATAATTTTGTACCATTGAATGCTAGAGAGATTGCCTTACAAATATGATGCAATTGGCTTTGTTGAAGTTAGGGTAAATTATGGAAGCCTTCTTGTTATTACACTTTATCCCCATTGTATTTTGAAAACCTACAACTGAATTAGCTGAATTTTGCCAATCATTTCACTTGTGCCGTCTTCCATACATATTTTGTTATCTTTGGTTTATAACACCCAAGTAGGAAAGTGTAGGTGTAGTCAAACAGGGAGGGTCTTTAGAATTTGTGCTTGAACTTATTTTATAATGCTATGTTTTGTGCACTTTCAATATCTTCTTTTCTTCTTAGATTTTGATTTGAGTTATTCTTTATAAACAGAATCCAGAAATATATGAGCTGCAAAGGAGCATGCCTGGAAAGTGTCGGAGCTGATCAACCTGCAGAAGTTGTTGATGATGCTCCCAAACATTTGGTATATTTCCTTTCTCTATAAAGCTTTATATTTCAGAACTGTGTATCTACCAGATAATTTATTGATTAGTTGGAATTGTTCGAACATGTCTATCGAAACTTAATAAGTATGTAGCATATATCATCCCCAGTTGCTTACCTTACTGTGGAATTAAATTAAACCATGCGCTAGCTGATTGTTTATGCTCATAATTGAAATAATACCTTTCTACTTGGTTTTTTTATCTCATGAAATGCAGATCATGTCGTAAAAAATGAAACCCTATCAATAAAATAGGAATTTTAATGCTTAAACTTGAAAATTACATATTCACTGTCTTTCAGAATCCAGGGGCATGCTTTTATTCTCGAACACAATCAATACTGTCTTGTGATGGCTCACATCGGCATACCAGGAGACTTTGCCCCTGTGCATAGTGCATCATATGGTGAGTATGGTTTTCTTGTATTGACTATGAGGATTAGTTTTCCATGTTAGAAGTTAACTGCAGTATGATTCATGCATTCGTTGTTTATTCACTTTCTTTTCTGAAAGAGAACAGAAATTAAAACATTGTTTACCCTTCTAGGAACTGTATATGTGCAAGTGCAGTATGCGTTCATCTTAAGGTATTAAATATTAATACTATGTTGGTTCTCTTTGAAGTGTTGTTACCCTTTCCATTTTTTTATAATTTTAAAGGACAATTATTTCTCTTCCTAAGATGTTGCTAATGATATTGGTACTTTTTCTCTTCTCGAAACAATTTCATTATCTAAAAATTTTCAACTCTTTCTTGAGAGCAAGCACCAAAAAAATTCAATCCGTTATATTTCTTTTGAGCATTATGAAATTATTGCAAAGTTGTTGAAACATACCTGTTTTTGTAATTCAAAAGTCAAATATTTGCTTCTCTTTGATTGTTTCATTTCTATTATGGCTAAGCTAGAACTTTATTCTTTGTGGTAAGTTGTAATTTTGAGTCAGTTACGTTTTTATATAAAATACTAGTTTTACTTTTCTATACAAAAAAGAATAATTAAAAGTCTTATGTTTTCAATTTAATTCTATATGTTGCAGATCAGATAATAGTAGTATTAAGGAGCAATGAAAATATTTTAGGAGGATAACTAATTTCCTTTAATAGAATGAGATGCATTTTACGTAGCTGCCATTTGTTAATGTGTAAGCTTTTGAAATATTCAAGGCCTTGAATAACAATAATTTGTATAACCCTTCCTCCTAACATGATGAAGATGAACCATTCTTCTTTGACTTTTGTAAATTTTTGTTAAAGCAATTGAACATTAGTTAAAATAAGTTTTAGATTTCATCCTTGAATTCATGGTTATTTCACGGTATGTACAACTAAGATGATGCATTTGGAGCCGTTGAACCTGATTTCATCTTTAAATAGTTTTAACCACTATCCAGCCTGCCAGGATAGTTTGGTACCTCAAAATCTAGTTGCCAAAACTTTACGTGAGCACAACCTTACCTTGATAATCATCTAATTTTAGTTGTTTTATTGAAGGAAATTGTGTGAGAATTTCAGGGACGAAGCACGTCTCAAATCCGGCAAGCACTGTTCGAAGGCATCTGACTGTCATAGGATAAATTTTTGCGGGGGACCTATTCACTTACCACTTGGTGTTTTCATATTTACCCATTGGAACATAAATGTATAGGTTTGCATGTTGTGACATTGTTGTATAAATTAGAAGCAAAATGGCATTGCATGCTAAGTTATGTTGAAGCATCCATGCCATACAAGAAGAGAGGAACATTTTTTGGAAATGGGATGTTTCAGGTTTTGTATTTTTGAGTTGGTTAAATCAGGTGGTGAGATTGAGGGAAAGGTTATCACTTCCAAGCAAAGCATTCAATTCTGACTTTGCTTCCAAGTAAACTGACAGCATATACTATGTTTTACATCTTTAAACTTCTATAATCTATAGTGATACGAGGGATTAGGGTAGACCTCGTAATTTTAAATAAATACAGATGATAAATGATATGACACGAAAATAATATAAAAAAATATAAAAATGATAGTTTAAAATTTTAATAAAAATGGTATATGAATTTGATAAAAATTTTAAAAAATGTTAATTTGATTTTTTTTATATTTTATACGTATTTAATAAAATAAATACAATATAAATGTATGAAATGACAGGTTCAAAATATATCAACCAATAGCAGTAAGATTGGTTAGCTAAGTCTTCCTACAGTTATTTTGAAACAACTCTGGGCATACAAGTGGTAAATTTTAACCTTCATAATTTTCTAAAAAATTACTAATATAAAAAAAATTATAATTATAATCACCTATTACATCTCGTATAAAATATTAATAAATTAAAATAAACAAAAAATAATAAGGCTTAAATTTAAGAATTCAAAATTTCCTCTTTGTTATTAAGCCAATCATTAATCCTTAAATAGGCAATTAGTCTGAAATCTGAATGTAAGTCTCAATAATAAAACCTTGTGACTTGAAGAGAGCTAAGAATTTTAGATCATAGTATTAGCTGATGAATAAATTTGGGGGGGGGGGGGGGGGGCCAATTTTAGTACATGAAACCTATTTCATAGGCATTTGAAATTGTGGAGGGCAGTAGCCCTAACATGTCAGAGACGTGGCAAATTTTTGTTATAGAGAAAAAGGGCTTGAATCCTTGGCTTTGGTTTTCCTCTGCTCTGTCCTTTCCACTCCAAGCATCATGTGGACCACTCTAGTTCTGCCAAAACCAGATGAAAGAAGGGAAGTTCAGAGGGAAAAAAAATCTCTGGCAGATTTTGGTCTGTCCATTTGTACACAAAAGAAAGATGTGGTGGTCAATTGGCAGGGGAAGATGGAATGAATAAAAATAAGCTAATTGATTTTCAGGGTTGGGTTGATTTAATTTCCCTTTCTTTAGCTTGCAATTAGAAACTAGTAAGTGTAAAAAAATTATGGGTTTATAATAAATCTGATAATTAAAAACATAAAATGATAATATGAATAAAAATAATACCAAAAAAATGAATGTGAATATTAAAATTTTAATAAAATTCATAAATTATGTATTATATTTTTTATATATACACGAATTGTAATATAATATAAATTAATAAATTATTAATTTTTATATTATATAAATATACAAATTGACAAATCTAAATTACGGTATAATGTTAGAAATTAAACTGTTTTTATATTTTTGGTTTGAAGTTTTCATTTTAATAATTGTTTGCTCTCTTTTCTTTTCTTTTCTTTGTCTTCATAATACCAAATTCATTCGGCCACTTTATTAGTAGTATAAATACTAATTTTTTTTATATATTTTGAAGGATATGAGCAACTCTATGATCTTAGTTGGTGGAGTCTAAAACGTCATTGGTGGTTTATAAGACAATTTTGCTTTCTGTACGACATGATTTTTTATGTTAATATATTTGTCAGTATTGGATTTTGATTTCAAAAGCTTCACGTAACCTTTAAAACAACTATTATTTCCTTGACAATATGATATCTTTGATGAATTAGATTTAATAATTTATGTCATCATATAAAATATTATATTTTATATAAAAATTATATATTATATTTTATATCAACACAAAAATATAAAATATAATTTTTTAATTTTATTTTTAATTTTTTTAAAAATTTTAAATTTTATTATTTTTTATTTTTATTAATATTATTTTATCATATCGTATTTTAAATTAACATATCTAATGAATTGCAATGTGACATACAAATTACATCAAAGTTAGTTTAATTAAATTAATTTATTTACAAATACCATTTTTCTTATTATAATTATTGAAAGACACAATCAAGTGTATATGTAATGTTTTGTACGAAAAAAATCATAATTTGATGATAAAAAAAAATTATAAGTACTAAAATTTAAATATAAAATTACTGAATATCATATATTAAAAGTGGTTATATAAATTTAAATCCAAATTTTATTTTTTATTTTATAATATGTATTAATGAATATAGATTAAATGGGACAGTTTCTTTCTCAAACAAGTAAAATCTGTCGTTTGCGTTAAAGCCTCTAACACACAAATAAAAATCTCAATGAAAAACAAGCAAAAGAACAAAAGAGTCAGGCATTTCTTTATCATTATGGTTCCCTTAGGATTAAAAGATTCAAATCACCAAACTCCAACTCCCACATTTAAAGTTTCAAATAGCGAAGGTACAAATTTAAGTCATTGTGCCACTTGGAAAATATGTTGGAAAATTAAAGTTTGCAAGAAAAAAACAAGAAAAATTACAGTAGTTTTGAAAAGAAAGATGAAATCTTCCCTGTAAAAAGAAGCAATAATTCAACCACTTATGATCATGATTACAGACATTGATCAAGTAAAAGTTCAAAACCCAATTCAGATTTTACAGTGTATTTTGCTAAAATGCATTGCAAACCTGATCAAAAACTATAATCTGGTTTGAAAAATCTGTTGCTGAGTGGCTTTGGTCCATCTCTCAAATTCCCTTGAACAGCCCCATTCTCTCCTGTTTCAGCCTCTTGTTCCTCTTCCTGAACCTCAAATGCTGGATGGCTGAGAATACTTTTAAGCAGCTGAGTTCCTCTTAGAGCATTTGTCAATGGCAAATGACCCTCAGGTGTTTCATCATTGAGTTCCCAAACAAACTCATCAGGAAAAGCCCTGTAATTGTATTGTTCAATCTCCGTGTCGAGTTTTTTCATCCACCCAACTTTGAGGAAGAACTTGGTGAAGTCCTTGTTAACTTTCTGCCACAAATTTTTTTGAACACTGTACCCAAACCTGTCGTTGCTGTACTGTTTCCAGAGTTCATCAATGGCTTTAAGGTCTGCTTCTGAGATGAACTGAACCTCAGAGAAAAAGACATAGCCACGTTTCTGAGCTGCTTCCCCAGCTAAAATTATGAGCAGACGGCGTGTCTCTTCATCAGCCTGGCGAAAGTTTTGAGTGGAAAGGTGGTGTTGGAGGGTGTCAAAGGAGACAGGTTGGGAAGTACTGGAAGGGGTAGAGGAAGTGGTAGAAGGAAGTGAAAAAGTGGTGGTAGAGGAGGAGGAAAGAGTGTTTGTGGTGGTGGAGTTGATGGTGGAGGTGGAGGAGGGTTTGAGAAAGACTGAGGCGGGAGGAGGAGAGGTGGATTCTGCGGTGGAGAGGCGTTTGAGGAAAGAGTAGTGGTGGTGGTGAAGGGATCTCAGAGAGTTAGTAGTCATACTTTTCTTTGATAAGGATGGGAAAAAACAGGGAAATTCAAGAGTGTGGTGGGATTCCAATGAGGCATGAAGGGATGGTAAAGAAGAATGAGAAGGCTTAGATAGGGGGTCAGTTGGGCAAATTTGATGGAAGATAAGATATGAGTGGGGAGGGAATAGAAGAATCCATATCAGTATTCATGAGAAATACAATGTAAGGTTCTGATTGGTCAGGTTTGGGTGAGGCTATATCTTTTTTCTTCTTCAATATTAGTATATTCACTTTCATATAGATGAGGAACTTGAATGAAATAAAAGAAATTGATTGGCCCTGCATTGAAAAGCAAAGGATTTTAAAAAATTTTTTTCATTTTTTCAATAATTTATGTAGGAATATGTATTATTTGATTAAAATTTATTGAAATATTTTAATCAATTGGTTAAGTAAATTATTTAAAAAATAAACTAAATTCCATCTAATCAACTTAGTAAAATAGTTGACCACTTCAACTTGATTTTAATTTGATTTATTTTATCTCACCATTAATAAATTACATGAGAGTAAAGAATCAATTTGATGGATATGAATGATGATATCTGATATGCTAATAATATAGGACAAAAAGCATATAAACCCGGCTAACCTTAAAATTTACAATCCTAATTTAAACTCAAAACAACCAAACACATTAAAATCCAAAATAATTTAAGACTGTGGAATGGAACCTTCCAAATAAATCAATTAGCCATTTTGAGTACAAGTCTAAGATTTAAGGTGTAGTTAATTTTATATAAATATATATAAATTAAATTTTTTATTAAAAAATTTCTAATAATAAATGACTTAACATTTTGACATGTAGACAGTCTTTAGCAATCCACATTTATTCTTATTATATATATGAATTTATTTGATTTCATATAAAAAGAAAAATATTTTAATATATTAATTATATCTATTTCTCTTTAAATTTTGGTTGATTTACCTTTTTATTTTTGATAAAATATCTTAAATTATAGATATAGTATTTAAAAAAACATGTTGAATGTTAAATGAATTCATTATAATTGATTTCCATAAATTATGGCTAATTTAATTTGCATTTATATAAAGCCTCCCTATTTTTTATTGTATCAAAAAATCTACTATAAATAGGGTATTTTGATGTTGCGTAGCGCTACTTAGAAGGCTATTCTCCAATTGCATTAGCTTTAGATCAAGGTAAACCTATCATATTTTTTTGCATTTACAATTTATTTTTTTAATAATTTATATTTCAAATTATAAGTGTTTTGGTTAGTTTCAATTGGTACCATTATCATGAAAGAAAATTTTATATAAATATATAAAAAGCAAAACTTTTGGTGAAAAGGAAAATTTTTTAATGTGGATGGGTAAAGGTGAGCAAAAATCAGTTTGAGTTGATTAGATTAACTGAAACTGAGTGAATTTTGTTAATTCGATTTTTTAAATCGATTAAATTGATTAACTTAGTAGGTTTTTTATTTTTAAAATTGATAATCAAATTAATCGAATTAATCGATTTTCTAATAAGTAAAGATAGAAAAATTGAGATGAGTATTTTTATTTATTTTTTTTATAAATTATTGTTGAAATTATTAAATTATTTAGTGATTTAGTTTGAATAATACTTGAGTTTAAGTTTTATTGAATTAGATTTATGGTTAAATAATTATTTATAGTAAGAAAAAAAATAATAAAAAATTTAGTTATTTAATCAAACTAATCGAACTAAACTGAACCGAATCGATTTTGATCAATTCGATTATAATCGTTATTTAAAAATTTTCAATTGGTTCGATTATTTGTTAAGTGAAAGTTGATTAAATTGATTATTAATTTTTTCAAATCGAACCAACCAAATCGACTAATTACTCACCTCTATAGATAACCTAACTTTTTGAAATGTGAACGGACTTTAACAATTGCTATATGCCTTACATTTATTTCCATTATATATATGAATTTATTTAATTTTATATAAATTTTAAAATATTTTAATGCATTAAACATATTTATTTCTCCTTAAATTTTCAATTGACTTATCTTTTATTTTTAATAAAATATTTTAAATTAATAAAAAATTTAGTTATTTAATCAAACTAATCGAACTGAACCGAATCGATTTTGGTCAATTCGATTATGATCGTTATTTAAAAATTTTCAATTGATTCGATTATTTGTTAAGTGAAAATTGGTTAAATTGATTATTGATTTTTTCAAACCGAATCAACTAATTACTCACCTCTATAGATGGCCTAACTTTTTGAAATGTGAACGGACTTTAGCAATTGCTATATGCCATACATTTATTCCCATTATATATATGAATTTATTTAATTTCATATAAATTTTAAAATATTTTAATGCATTAAACATATTTATTTCTTCTTAAATTTTCAATTGACTTATCTTTTATTTCTAATAAAATATCTTAAATTATAGATATAGTATTTAAAAAAACATATTGAATTTTAAATGAATCCATTATAATTGATTTCCATAAATTATGCCTAATTTAATTTGCATTAACATAAAGCCTCCCTATTTTCTATTGTACCAAAAAAATCTATTATAAATAGGGCATCTTGATGTAGTTAGCATTACCGAGAAAACTATTTTCCAATTGCATTAGCTTTAGATTAAGATAAACCTATTACACTCCATGATTACAATTTGTTTTTTTTCAATAATTTATATTTCAAATTATGAGTGTTTTGATTAGTTTCAATTTGTAGCATTATCATGAAAGAAAAATGAAGCTAAAAACAAAAATGTGCACTATTTTTTTTTTGACAATTATTACCTTTATTTTTTGGTAATTTATATTTTTTGGTAAATTATGAAGTCTCAAACATGAAAATTTAATCATTATATCATTATAAAATTCAAATATTTTGTAATAAATTCCAATTTTTTTTGCATAAATTATAAATTTAGACATCTTAATTTTATTACATAAAACACAATAAGTTTTGATTATCTAATACTTATTTAGATTATTGACTTTTGATTTCCTTATATTCATTTTTTTTCAAACCATTATATATATATATATATATAACTCAAATATTTTGTAATAAATGTCAAGTCTTTTTTACATGAATTATAAATTTATATATCTTAATTTTATTAAATAAAACACAATAAATTTTTATTGTCTAATATTTATTTGGATTATTAACTTTTGATTTTATTGTATTCACTTTTTAAAACTATTATTTTTTAAATGTATTGATTAACATTTTATTTCTATAACATTTATATTTTAAACTTTTGATATTCTTGTGACTTATGATCTTTTATCTCTTTTAAGGATAAGAGTTATATGAGTGCAATTCATGTCTCTATTACACTTTTTTCTTCCAATTATTGTTTGTTATATTACTTTGATTATTGACTTTTGATTTTCTAGCAATCGTTTTATTTAAAACCATTATTTGTTAAAATTTATTAATCAAACCTTTGATTTTGTAACATTTATATTTTTTACTTTTGATTTTTTTATAACTTATGACTTTTTATATCTTTTAAGGATGATAAGTTATATGAGTGTTTTTTATGCTTCTATTACACTTTTTTTTCTCAATTCTTATTTGTCATGATACTAATTATGAGGTTTTATTTTTTATTGTGTTTTCATTTTGATAATTTTATAATTTTATAAATTTGTAATTTTTTTACATTTCATATTTGTTTACTAGCCAATTGATGTATATTTTTGTGTTTTTATTTTTCTTATAATTTTTTACCTTTTTACCATGATCCTTTTCTTTTGCAATTTAATCTTGACTATTAACCATTACTAATTATAAGTTTTTTTTATTATTATATTTTATTTTATAATTTTTATAAATTTTTAATCATGATTTATGATTTTTTTAGCATTTAAAGTTTGTTTCTTAGTCAATTCGTGTATTTTTTATTGTTTGTTTTTTTTATAATTTTTTACCTTTTTTTTTTTTTTTTGCAATTTAAACTTGTGTATTAACAAATTAAAATATACCACGATTAATGATTATCTCTTAAAAATATGAATGAATGATCAAAATTTGTGTTTGTCAATTGTGAGATATTTATAATTTTAAGACTAAACAATATATTAGTATAAAAATGATGCCGATTGATGAGAATGTATATATGTTTTTTTGTCTATTTTTGTCATGTTATTTTCTTATCTTTAATTTATTTTATTATTTTTTAGTTAAATCGCAGACATCAATATTGTTTTTATATTATTTATTTATGACTTTTGAGTTTTTTTTTTTGGATTATATAAATTCTTTCAATCTTTTATATATTTTATTTTTAGATTTTTAGTATGTAACATGTTACTAATCATGAGATTTGTAAGCATCGTCTTTATGTTTATTTGTTTAAAAATTGTTGTTTTTTATATGATCCATGATCAATGTTTATACTATTCAAATATATCTATTTGACATTTGAGACAAGTTTAAAACCTATTTCTACTTATGGTTTTTTAAGTTTTTTTAAACGATGAATAAATTGTTGTAACGAGGATTGGAAGGTTTGATTTATTAACTATATCATAATTTTTTTAATTTTTAAAGTATGAATTGATTTTTTTTTTGTATTTTATTTTTAGAGAATCAAATTAACATAAAATTTGCTTCTTTTTTATTTTTTCATTATGTTTATTTTTTTACAAAAATTCTGAATTTTTTTGTAATATATGAGCTCATTAACAATGGAAAATGATACTTAAGTTTAATGTTTCAATAAGATTTTGATTCATTTTGTTATCCCATATTTTTCTCTCTTTTTTTCTCTTAATCTTTTTATTGATTTTTTCTCCATTTCTTTCTTTCCATAATTTTCATGTGATAATTAAATTATAAAATATAGATATTTTTATATTGTTAGCAAACTTATGTTTTCTTTAGAAGATTTCTTTTGACTATTAATGGTTTCTCTATGTGATTATAGTTTGATTTTTTTATGTTAAGGTAGCAATATAGATTCTTCAAAATTTTGAGATCCATGTAGCTTTTCTTAATAAAAAAGTATTATTCATCTTTTGGGTAAATCATTTTCTCCTTTATTTTAAAACTTCTTAAATTAATTAAAATAATAGATGTGAAGGTTTACTAGAATAAAACTAATAAAACTAATTATAATATGACTAAAACAATCATATAATTCTTATAATTTTATAATATATCATGTACAATATACTTATATAACATTGATAAGTTTTGCGAAATAAATGCATTTTAAAATGAAGACATTTCTTTTTAATTTTAG